TGGTCCTCCCTGTCTTGGGAGAGGCTAAAAAGTTGTTTTTTTTAAAAAAAAAAATCCTACAGAAATAAAGAAACCAACTCCAGAAGCTGCTCCTGGGAAAAAATAGACATACATGCAGGAGTAGGGTAGCTGTATCCCATGCATGTGGTCAGCATGAGGTGGCAGAAAGGCAAAATTTTCTGCCACTGAGGCTGTGAGAAATGTAAATCTGGGAAAAATGTGGCTGCTTGTTTTGAAAAAGATCACCCTCAAGATGCAAATATTCCTTAACCAGAGGCAGCAAAACTGATTGTTCTACTTTTGAGGTTGTTGTAGAAGCAAAGTAAAGAGATTTAGGGATGAAATTAATTCAACGATTGTTCTGTCCAGGGCAGAATGATGAAAGGGAAAGAATCCCTGATTTAGAGGCTCTGGAAATGGGGAGTGCAAAGTGTTAGGGAAAGTGTGTGGTTTTTCTTTGTTTTTGTTGTCACTCTTTCAACCCAAATGTCTGATTCTACAAAAAAAGTGTGTAGCCAACACAGCTCCAGAGGAAAGAGAAGCCTGAGTTTTGTAAATTGAATGAAAAGCAGAAAAGACCCTTGTGCCAAACAGAGTCACCTGTTCAAGCCTAGTATTTAGAGGCTGTTTTATATGGGAAAATATAAACCTGTCTTTGGTGGATTATGGTCTTGTGAGGATCCCACACTACGGTTTTAAAACACTCCCTTGGATGTATGGGCAGTGGGCAGAGACAATAAGGAACTGGGCAAATCTCAGGAGTGGAATTTGGTCTCCGGTCTTTGGCCATTTTAGTGGAAACTGTCCAGCTCTGCTCTCAAGAGCTGCAAACTTTGTACAGGTCCCATGCCCTGTTTGTGACCAGATTCTTGGACACCCAAGGAGACCTCATATCACACGACAGCTGTATTCAGGAAATTGTTTAGATGACCTTTAATTTTTAATGAACTACCCTTTACCTTAGTGAAGAATAACAGCTGGTTGTTCCATAATGAGAAGAAAAGGCACTTGCTCTGTTCTGAGATCTGCAAACTGGAATCATAATTCCCAGTCTCTGCTTTCCTCCCACTTCATCCTGTTGGGAAATGTGAATGGATATCTTAATTCTGGAAACTTGGTTTGTCATTTGTGTTAAGGACAGTTTGTCCTGCTTTTATTAATTCTAACACTGATTTTGTAAGTCACCATGATATAAATGGTAAGTGCTGTGCACTGAGTCTGTTACCATAGAAAAGCAGAATGCTGCCTATTCCGGTGCTGCTGTATTGCATTCACACTCTCAGAGTCATGGATGTGGTGAATATGCTTTCTGTGATTTGCTAGTTTGTTTTAAGAATTGAGTGCCTCTTAGGAGACTTATTAATGTTTTCTTCATTGTTTTTCATTCTCTGATTAGGAGAGTAAAAAAATACTTGCCATGTAAACCTACACTCCCCATTCCACATGGCATCTGTTCTCACTGCAGCTAATTTACAGATTGAAAAGTGCTAGTATGCTGTGGTCTTTCATCTCCATATGTTTAAAATGGCCTTTAGGTGGGATCAGATTTTATGCATTTTATGCAAAATTCCAGCCTCTGAAGCATTTCTTCATCCCTGGTATTCTTCTGTTCTTGTTTCTATAGTAGCTGTTGTCAATCTGCTTTGCTCTGTGATCTGTGGTGGAGAGGGGGTCTGTAGCTCCAGATTGCAGTTACCAGAAGGGATGTTTCATTTTGCTGACTAAAAGAAGGCATCTCATTTTCTGAAACCAGGTGGTGTAATCACCTTTGCTTCTTTTCCATGCTTGCTTGTTTGCAAACTGTTCCAATGAGCTGATGCACTGTTACCATGTGCTGGGTTTTGTCCCAGGAAGATAAGCATGGCAAACTTTTGATAGGCTACAGATAATTTTAAAGAAATAATTTTACTGATAGCAAAGAGACAGTGCTCTGTGTTTAAACACAAGAACTGATCAGCAACTTGCCCAATACAAGCAAAGTGTATTGTCTTGTTTTTATTCTTCTCCGAAGAGGGATCTTTTTGGAATTTATTACTGACAAATGCTAGGGAGATTAACCTGTTTTCTTAATGGTAATTTATAATGATATTATAATCTGCTCTGTGTAATGCTCCCTTCCCCAGAGGAAATGAAAACAGGTCTAGCATGAAGAAGCCCTGTTGCTGTGGGTTTGCCCTCACTGATATTCACACCCATCAGTGGAAGTGTTTTTGATTCCCCTCTGCAGGAGAGGGCACCACTCCATGTGTGTGGGCTAGACTTTCTGGAAATACGCCGTAGGATAGAGGAGTGGTGCTTAGTTTTTCAGTGTGCTTAGGCAAGGCCTCCCAAAGTATATTTATGACATTAGATGGGTGAAGGTGGTGGAATATGCAGCCCTTTCTCTATTTATTTAGTTAGTTAGTTATTAATTTTTTTTGTTTGACTAAAGCTGATTTTAGCAGGGATAGTCAAAGGAACATTCAGCATGTTTTGGAAATCCTCCATGGAGCAGCCTTTTCGGCAGCACAGCTTAGTGGCAAAGTTGCTGCTACAGCCAGGAGTAATAAAGCAGTGGGGTGCTGATAGCTCAATGAAACATCCTCTAATTTCCTGTGCCTCTGTTAGGGACTCCACTCTCCTGGACAGAGGGACATCCATGTGCAGCTTGGCCAGGCACATGCCACTTATTCTGCACAGTCAGATCTCTGGAGCAGCACTTCTAAGCGCTCCCTTTTCTGCAAAGCAGTTTTTACTTATTTATTTTTAATGGGTTCCTTTGAGTTCCTTGAGGTCAGCACACAGAATCATCACGTTTCTACATTAGCATGACATGAGGTAACCACAAGTCCCCTACAGAGCTCTTGGTGGATAAACCTCAGCACCCAGAATATTCTCTCTCTCCCTATTCCATGTCTCCTGCTCAGTGGGGATAACAGCCAGTGGTTTCAGCTAAGGATTACATTAGCATCCAAAACATGGATTTCTCCACAGTCTTTGGAAACAATGGGAACTAGAATTAGCAGGGAAGACAGGATATAAATGTTATTCTTTTATAGCCGAGGAAAATGGTTGACTCTGATGGATGTGCGGGTAGCCAGACATGCAGAAATGTGGTAATATCTTTATCAGACAGCCTGCAGTGTACTTTTCTTTTTATTTCATTTGCTGCTACTCTTGGGCCTGTGCTTGGGTGGGGAAAGAGGAGGATCCAAAGGCTCAGATTTTTTCTTAGATGTAATTTAATCAATGGGCTAATACTTTGATATGGGTAGGCTGGGTAACACTAGGGAACTTAACCAGACTGGCTCAGGAACTAATTTTTATCTCTACCTAGAATTAATTCTCATTAGAGTTACTGTTTTATTTTCCCTTTCCCACCCAAATGATAGTGCAAATTAATGGAACTTGTTACAGGTTTTATTAAATGCAGCTCATGTTTATCATGTCTGGAAACCCCACCCTTGGAATATGCCAGAACCACTCTCTGACTGTCCCTGGGACAGGCTGCAAATGATCTTCCCTAAATTTTCTGAACAGGAAAGGATTCAGCTATTAAACAGCTGAATGAGGAGGGTTGAGAGCCTTTGATTTCAGGCCACCCAATTCAATCTAACAGTGGGAGTTAGCTGTCCATTGGTAACCTCCACCTGGAAATCACTTGCACCTGAGAATTATTTCTTGGCCCAGTTGAAGTTAGTTGGAAATCTCAGGGAGCTTCTGAGGATGCCCACACGACAGGATTATTGTCCCAGGGTGTGTGGGTGCTCACTGTCTCAGCAGACACACTGTTGGCCTTGATTTTATCCCTGGGTTTGTCTTACTTGGCAAGAAGCCACCTCCTAGGAGACAAAAATTACACCTCCAGCTGTTAGATAGGGGTGAGGTATTTCCATTTCCTAAACTTTCAGTCTCAAATCTCTGATTTTTAGATAAAGAAAATAAATGTGTGCTGTCACTTTTAATAACGACTGAACGTGCTGATGGCTTGAAAAAGATAAATTTGGCCGTGTCAGCTAAGAAGATGTGTCCCCAGTATTGTCCAGTTTTAAGCCCCTAAGAAATCTTACCATAATTTTTGGCTGTCATGTGCAAGTTATTGCTTAAGCAGTATTTTGTTAATAAAATGTTTCATGATTCAACCTTCTGTTGATCAAGTAGGGCAGGCTAAATGAAATAAAGATAGAATTAGGTTTGGCGGAAGGATACTGGATCTTAGATGTGCACATGCCTTGTAAATTCAGAGTGAATTAAATAGCTGCAGATCTTAGTAAAAAGAAGAAGAAAAAGGAGAGGGAGAAATGTGTATTTTTTGGTATTGGGGAATATCAAAAAAGGAGTTCATTTTTAGTTTGGGCTTGTACTGTGATATTGTTCAGTTCAGAAGGAAGTGTGTGTGTGTACTGACAAAATGCTGGCAGCTGACGGAGCCAGAATTGATGTTAATGGTTGGGAACACAGGGCAATATAGCCAGTTAACAAAAGAGCTTGATTTGTGCAGAAGATGATTTCGAGCAGATACACACATATATAGAAAGCAAGATTAATTTAGAGACCTTTGTCATTAAAGCAGATTTTTGTATGGTTTTGTGTGGGATTTAAGGGGGATTAAATGTTTGACATCACTTTGCCTGCACAGGCTATGTTGAAGAGGTTACCGAGCGGGTGGTAGAGAATTTAAAACCGTGCCTTTGCTGAAAGAGAGGCAGCAATGGATCAGAGGAAAGCAGCCTGGCCAAGCAAACTGCCCTACCTACCACAGTGCTGAAAGCAAGGTGCTTCTGGTTGGACAGCAGTTGCTGCAGGGATGTAGAGATGAGGGAATATTTATGATTTGCCAAAGTACGAGGGGAACTCGGCGAGGACATCAGAAGTGGGATGCCCCTGTCTTCTCTCTTCAGGGATGCCTCGCTTCGTGTGCATCTTGTGTCTGCTATGCTGCTTCTAAACGGTAAAAACTCTAAAAATAAGAAGTCAGCAAGGTGGATTGGGTGATCAGGTGCATTTCTCTTTTGGAAGAGATGGTCCTGGTCATGAAGCTTCTGTTCCTCACCTGCCTATGGCCAACAGCAGTGCTTCACAGTTCTCACAGTCAGCATCACCGTCTTCATCGTCGGCATCAAATGTCATTCTCAAGAAAACATAACAGGTAAGAAATAGACTTTATCTGTCTCTGTTCGTCTGGTAAACCTCATGCTGTCGGCCACCTTTCAACACACCCTTTTAGTTCACTGTCCTGTTTTTCCAGATTCTGGATTTATAGCATCCATAGCATTGATAGAATGTTCCCACAACAGAAAGGGTGTATTAATTAATTAATTAATTTTTCCTAACCAGACCTTTCACACTGTCATTTTATGAAAGTCTCATAAATATGCAGTCATGTACCCACCCACACCCAGCTCTTTTACCTGGTGTGATACAAGGCTACCAGATTATTGCTGTGATGTTCCAAGTATTCTTGCCCTCTAACTCCCATCACAAGAAACAGAAATGCCTTCCAAAGTCCTATGCCAATGTTAAAAAGTGACCTATTACCTAAACAGCAGAGTAGCTACACTAGAAAGCTACAGAAGACTTTTTTATGGCACTAAATGAGGTAAATGACACCTTATTTTTAATGATGACACAGCATGTTCCCTTTCTGGAATATATTTAGTGCTTTTAGACATTGAAGATTGTCTCTGTTCTTGGCCTTTCAATCGAGTAGCTGGTTGAAAATGAATAATGATAGAGAGGTTTTTACCTATAAATTTCTGGGCAAAGTGTCAGTGCTTTCCCCCAGGAAGGCAGCTCACATCTGCCATGTGAGGCCTCTCAACCTGTTTCCAGTTTAATCTAATACTATGTGAACAGACCAATAGCTGCCACTGATAATCCAAGAAAAATTCTTCTTTCTTGGGAATAACTAGCTCCATTTAAGGAAGGAGAAGGGATACAACTGTTAGATTTTAAAATGTGCTTGACCCCCTACTAAAATGAGCAGGGGAGCTTGTAGTTTATTTCTACAATATCACATTTTGAAGAAAAGTGTCATAACTGGCCTCCTCTGATGTGTTTAAGCTGTCTTTTTTTTCCCCCTGAAGTTGCATGCTTTGTGGCAGGTGTATAGCTGTTAGCCTCCTGTATCACTTCTCATCATCCAGCAGTGAAATATCTCTGGAACCCTCCATGTCTTGATAAAATCCTGTTTAGCAATCCAAGGTAATAGATGACACAACACAGGTGCTGTGTCACTCAGGACTTCTGGGTTTCTGTCCTGAAAAGTTATGGGTCCAAGTTTGATGCAAGCCAAAAGCTCATGAAAAGAATGGCTATTCAGCAGGCTGTTTCAAACAGTCTGAGTTCTGCTGCACAATTATTTGTAATAACAAAGGAAAATAAACAAAACTAGCCCCAGTATCAGCATAAGATTTCATCTGGTGTTTTAACAGTCTCAGGAATTAAATGGAATTTAATTAAGAATTAAATTAGTTAAGAATGAAATGGAAACAGAATAAAATACCTTATTAGTGGTAGTGGCAAGGAAGGTCTATTTTAAGCTCAGCTGGTACACTTTTATCTGTAGTAAGAGGGGAGCATATGCTGCTGTTGTTTGCATCTATGCTGTTCTGCCATGGCTGAGAGCAGTTGTTCCATCATTGACATAAAAAAAAATCACAAAGCCAGAGGGAGACCTGGTGGTAGGAGACAGGAAATTTTGTGGCATCCTGATGAACATCCTCTCACAACACCAGTGTTAGCAAAGTGTCCTCTCCATCGTCACAGATCTTTACTGGTACATGCAAATGGATCCACGTGACAATCCTGTGAGACAGGCACAAGTGCGTTACCAGAAAGGGAGAATAGGAACAAGGAGGAATTAATCTGCTGCTGCCTGGTGTGGCAGTTTTCTTTACATAAGGCAAGCTTTGGCTTCCCACATCCTCATTTTCAAGGTCCTGGTGATTTTGAACTGGGAAGAAGACTGCAAAATCTGAGCCACAGAGGATCCCAAAGCTTAACGGCAGCAAATCAGCTTTTCTCTGCAAAGGATCCGAATGTGTTTAATTTTTCTTTGTTTCATTCTCTGCTGTTGTTCTAAAGGCTGCATTATCCTTCAGTACATTGCATCAGGATCTGACTTTCCATCAGCATCTTTTTCTTTCTGGGGAACAATCTTTCAGCACACTAGGGTTATTAGGGACACAGCTGACAGATGGCCTTGGTTAAATGGGTGGCCTTTTAAAAAGAATCCCATGTGAAAATGTTACTTAACCTACAAGTTCCACTGTTTTAATAGAGTAACCCAGTTCTCCCTCCAAAGCTGTTTGTCTGCATTCTCCTGTAAAGAAGATTTTAAAGCATTAACCAAAAGTACATGAGAAAGCGATTATTCTCATGGTCCATTTCCTACAGCAAAGAACAAAACATTTGATTGTCAAAATATTAGGTTTTTTTGACAGTACATATTGCTGATGTTACTGAACAATTAGAAATGCATTTTCATGTGTATGAGAGAGAACTGTGCAATTTTGATTGTTTTATTTATCTGGGCTCCAAGGCTTGATTAATGTAGTAAAGCATTTCAGAGGTCACATTGCTGGATTACCCCACAGACTCCGCCTGGAATAAGATTTCTGTAACTTCTACCTTTTGGATACCTTTAATTTAGTAGTATCTGGAGTATCTTGGGGACACAACACTGGAATGAAACTTACAGCCATGACAGCCAGGGTATTCTTTTCATAAAAGGCACATTAGTAGTATTCTTCTCATAAACTTACCTAGTTTCATTCTGAATATGAAAGGATGGTAGGGGGAAAAAGACCTTTCTCTAGTTTCCTACAAGAACTTTTACCATATCATTAGCAGAGCTCTAAAACAGAGGAACAGCCAAGCAGGAACTTTCCAGGGATCTCTGTACTATACCAAGTTTATAACAAGGGCTTGCAAGCACAACCTTGGATGGATAAGGACAGGGCAAATAAGATATTTTCCCCTAATATTCACAGCTGTACCAAGTCACCAAATTTCCTCCAGCAACATTATTTGTTGGGTGTAATTTCTGCAGACCCAGTGATCTTCAGTGGATTTCTTTTCCATCGACTTCTCCGATTCCTCCTTGAACCAGCATAAACTTTTGATAGCCTGGAAAGTTAAAGATATCCAGATGGGACATGAACCACATCTATCCCACTCGTACCATTGGTTTATGGATCTACACTGATGGCATTAAGTGATTAAATGCTTTAGCCAAAAATGACCCAAGTACCCTTGAGCAGACCTTTAACTTTTCATTTGCTAATGGTTTTCAAGGCCAGGTGGGAGCAGCTAAATTTGTCTTTAAAAGCCTGATACATCTTTGTCTATTGTTAATTAATTCTGAATTAGCTGCTTTGGTTTTGTAGGCAATAACTAAATGCTCTTTGAGATCTCTGGCAAATACTGAGGTCCATGCAATAGTATTGGGTAGGGAAGTGTCAAAACAGTATTCCTCATTCTTTTTCAGCCAAAAATTTAGTGCTCCCATTAATTAAATACAGAAGTACCAACAAGAGTGAATTTCCTATGTGATCTGAAACACTTCAAGTGCTTTTATGACCTCCTTTGGAACATAACTATAGATTGCCATTTAATTTACATAACCCTTGCCTGAAATACAGCTATGGAAAGCACAGCTATGAGTGGAAGCAGCAGTTTCTTGAGCATGTGCCTCACTGAGACCAATAAATTTTTATCATTGCCCAGATCTACACCAATACCAGAGTTCTCTTCATTACTGCTGCTGCAGATAGGTAAAAAGAGATTTCCTGTCCTTAGGTGCATCTGTCTTCTAAAGGTTTCACAAAAATTTCTTCACCAAAAGGGCTGTCAAGTCCTGGAACAGGCTGTCCATGGAGGGGATTGATTCACCCACCATTCCTAGAAGTGTTTAAAAGATGTGTAGGTGTGGCACTTAGGAACATGGTTTAGCAGTTGATTTGGCAGGCCTGGGTTAATGGTTGGACTCACTGATCTTAAAGGTCTTTTCCAACCTAAATGGTTCTGGAATTCTGTGTGGGCTTTTCCTCTCAATCACAACCTGACATCTGCCATGAATGTGTAAAATCCATGGCTGTATTCAGATCCCTAGACCATGGTGTGCTGCTGAAAGCCACACAATCAAGAGGCCATGGAAATATAATCTGTTTTTTTTGCTGTGCTTCTGTTGATGCCCTTTTCTGGTGTTAGAAAATTGAGAGCCAGACACGGTTGAGGGATAACAGTTTTTTACCTCGATATTTTAGTAAGGATCCTTATTGGTGCACCACTTTTCCAAGGTGGAATGAGCCTCAATGCACACACAATAGATTGCCTATACAATTTACAGACCTTACAAATTAGCATATCTAACAAGGATATCCCAATGGGAGGCCTGGATGAATGGCATGATATTCCTCCATCTGGAGGCAATGTCTCATTTACAGGATATGTTCAAGAGAGGACCTTGGTTTCCCAAGAGAGTGTAGGGCTTTCCAGCCTCCTACTGCAGGGCATTTAGGATATTTCGTCTCCTGGCCTAACAGAATACCAGGACTATGCTAAGTTATCAGACTTAAGGAATTACAAGTATGCATGCTAAGAGTACTGAGGCTACATAAGAGATATATAAAAGGTATATAAAAGAAAAGGCAAAAAAATCATCTTGGCATCATTTTTTTACTTTTAGAGACTAACTCTAAAGAGACTAGGACTCTACTTTGTCTAGTCCCTACTCTGTATTACCCACAGTACTGGTTTACACAACTGGCCAACCCACAGGCTATTACACAGATTATAGCTATAATTACAGCTATTATAAATGTGTCTGTTACCCAGGCCCAGTTTGGTAACCATGAGGTGAGGGTGTGGAAGATATGGTCAAATTTCAAGGTGTCATTTCTGTAAACTATGTCATGTAAAATTTGAGTTCCAAATTTTATCCACGTCCTTCTTAACTTTCCCACTTTGGTCTACATAAGAACAGCAAGTGGTAATGTGCAGGAAGTATGAAATTGAGAGCTATCCTTTCTGCATAACTGCACAGGACATACTGTCAAATTCCTCTTGTGAGGCTGAAATTGCATTTGCAGCATGCTGCTCAATATGTTCAACAATGGCTGAGATGTTTACAGTCACTCTCTCCAGTTCAAGCACTCCATAAGAGGGAGGGAGAGTTCTGACTATATTATGGAAAAGTGTGGGATGCTTAATGAGAGGATTAAGAGATCTTTTCTTCCTCCCATTTGGTTTTTCAAGATGATCAAATATTGTTATACTCAGGACCACAGCCCCAAGGGCACAAGCCTGATCTTTATTCACGGGCAGGACTTTTCAGATCTTACCATCACATATCCAGTACAGCCCTGTCTCAAATGGTGGAGCCAGTCTCCACCCTGTCAGTTTCATCTTTGCTACAACTTTTGGGCTGATTATTTCTCTGAAATAGGTTCTATGACCATATGAAGGAAGAATGGCCTTTCCTGTGGCCTTTACAGCCACACACACATGCTATTAGGCTGCTTAGGGGTATAAGGGACAGAAGGGTACTATTAATTGGTTCCCACCTTTTGATACATTACTCTTCCATTAAAATGCCAATCATTGGCCAGTGACCATCCCCAGAGGTGGTAACTGGGTACAGATCCAGCAATTGTTCTTATGAAGAACTTTGGACACATCTTGGACTACAGTCCTATGCAAATCATGGGGCCTGAGTCATGGTTACCAGCTGGACAGATAACAGACATATAAAAAACAGTTTAAACCACATTCTCCTGATTTGTATCAGTCTCTGTCTTAATGATTTTGGGAGAAGAAACTTTCTTCACTCTGGAGTAGTGGATCCACAGTCCTTTGCCAACAACCTTGACTGCAGTGCAGGTGGTCAGCAAAACTTGGAACAGTCCCTTTCACTTGGCTTGCATGGGGTCACTGTCCCATCACTTGATACAGACCCCATCTCCAGGCTGGAATGGATGAGCAGGTGTGTGCAATGCTGTTGGCTTGGATAACAAGACAAATCTGGAGCTTCTGCAAAGTGGAACTCAGAGCCATTAAGTGCTTTTGCAAATCAGTTTTACCTTTCATGTGAATTTCCCCTGGGACATGTGGAACCTGATACGGCCTGCCATATAATATCTCATAGGGACTTATGTTGTCCCCCTGCCTTGGCTGTTTACAGACTCTCAGCAAGGCTGTAGGCAAGGCTTGAACTCATGTCATGGATGTCTCCTGACAAATCTTACAAATCTGGGTTTGGACGGTTCCATGCATACCTTCAACTTTCCTGGGGCCTATATGGTATGTTCAGGTCCCACGTGAATCCCAGAATCCTGCTAACTTCCCCAACTACTGTTGCAACAAAATGTGGTCTTTTATCTGATGACATTCCCAAAGGAATCCCAGACTTTGGAATTCTATGATTAAGCAAAGCTTTCACTACTTCTCTTGTGTTGGTGTGACAGGGGTAAGCTTCAGGCCATCCACTGATGGAATCAGCTCGGACCAGTATATATTTGCATCCCTCCTTGCGTGGCATCTCAGGAAAATTTATTTGCCAATAATTTCCCAAGAGATCTCCTGTCTCTGTTGCCCCTAACACACAACCCTTTTGCTCATGGGGGGTTGTTTTTACAACAGGTTTCTCACTTGCTTGTTATAGGTTGTACAATATCAATCATTCTTCTCCCTATTACTACTTTCTTCAGATGTTTTAAAAGATTTTCTGTTCCCCAGTGGGTACTCTCATGCTCTTGCTGGGCTGTTTCTCGAAGGAGCAAGGGTGGTACTACAACCTGTCCTGCTGGTGTAACAGCCCACCCACTTTATTTGATCTCAGCCTAAAGAAATGGAATTAATTTGTGATCCCTCTGGTTGTATTTTGGGATAAACTCGGACAAATCTATTTCTTTCTGTGGTACCACTGCAAGAACGTCCTTCTCTGCAACCCCTCTTGCTGCTTCATCAGCAAAGCCATTTCCCAGTTTGGGGGCTGTTTTCCCTTTGTGATGACCTCTGCAATGCATGATGGCTACTTCCATGGGCTTCCAAATACTTTGCAGGGGTGCAAGAGTCTGTTCAGTGTGCTTAAGCTCATTACCTTGAGCAGTTAGCAAGCCACATTTCTTTCAAATGGCTTTATGGTTTAAAATCCCATAAGATCTCTTCCCAGTGGCTTATTAAGTAGAAAATTCCTGCCTTGGTAGCTTGTCTTTGCCTCTGTTGTCCAGGATAAGGTTTCCTCAGTCACAGACTTGCTTCTAGTGAGAAGTTGTAATAGATGAGTCAGTTCCAGCCTGCTTCTTCCACTGAGATCCTTGGAGCATCAAACAGGCATTTTCCTTGGCACATCAGATGACAAGTAACCTCATGCTTCCCAACTGTATTAGCTGTGCTGTGGCATTCTGAACATAATTCATCATTTTCCCCTCTCCTGCATCCCAAGCAGCAGAATTTCCTCATGTAGAACACTGCAGCTGTTCAGTTCTGCTGCCTATTCAACCCTGATGCAAGTTTGCTCTGTGGTGATTTTAATTCTCTGAAGCGTGGGCTTTCATTTTACCATCCACATGATTTTCATACTTAGAAAAACTAAAGTCTGTATTTGAAATGCCTTATGGACCTCTGATTGCCCTGGTAATTTGATTCAGACAGCACTGCCAGAGACATTCAGGAACACTCAGGTAAGTGAATTTGTTCAAGCCCAACAATTCTAAGTAGCCCAGCAGCCACCTCATCATTCCTGTAATGTAAAAGTAATTTCTTGGGCTTCTTTATTAAGAAAAAAAGCGGGGGAAGGAGAAAAATAAGTAAATAGAGGCATACACCTTATCTTAAGGTATTTCGTATCTTGCCTTAAGCAGTGTTTGACTACAAGGCAAATCTTCAGAACACATTTCTATCATTCAGTCAAAAGTAATAATTAGAGTTGCTTGCAGCAAAATCCCAGAGAATCACAGAAGGCATGAAAGAAATTGTATCTAGGGAGAGTCCCTTGCCTGTGGCAAAGCAGCTGTATTCAAGTTATTCCTGCAAATAAATGTCTGACCTATTCTAAAACAGCCTGAATGAAAGGAGTCTCAAAACCTGCCCAAGCGATACATTCCCATATTTCACTGTTCTCACCATGAGAACACTTCTGTGAGAAAGGTGTTCCTAATGTGTACAACAGAATATAAAATCATGGCATCATTTCATTCCAACCCCCTTGCCATGGGCAGGGACACTTTCCACTAGACCAGGTTTCTCAAAACCCCATCCAACCTGGCCTTGAACACTTCCAGGGATGGGCATCCACAGCTTCTCTGGGCAACCTGTGCCAGGGCCTCACCACCCTCACAGGAAATAATTTCTTCCTGATATCCAATCTAAACCTACTCTCTTTCCATTTAAAGCCAGTCTCCCTGCAAGTCCCTAGATCCAGGATTATCCTTTCTCAGTCCTAAAGAAATTACTGACTCACTTGAGCTCCTAGGAAAAAAACTACATTTATAATAAAAGGAATAATTGTCTCTCTAGTATGGATAATGTATGAAGTGTTAAACCACAGGTATGTGGTGTTATTTCCAAGTTTGATTTGCAAGTGTTTGTGTGAATAATAACTTCAAACAGCTCTGTTCTCTTGTACAATAGCTACAATCTCTGAGGAGAACAGAAGAGGATCTAGTAGTTCTTCCTGGGGCTTCTTATAAATTTGGTGTTCTTCATGGACCTGGGCACCACCCTCATACCTCATTTCCCAACCTGTCCCAATATATCTTTCTCCAGCTTTATTAGCGCAGTTGTTACCCTTAGCATTCCAGATTCAGCTGTCCAGTATTCCCAGGTCCCTATTTCATTTGACTAGCACTGTGACTGTCAGGGCAGAAGAAATAAATTAAGTTTATAACTTTTTTTTTTTTTTTAAACATAGCAAACGAGAAATTAAAATGAGGAAACTTGACAGCACGAAGGTCCGACCACTTAAATCTGAGCAGCTTCTTCACATAGAGGACCATGACTTTGCACTGAGACCTGGATTTGGAGGTAAGCAGCACATGCCTGCACTGTGCTGGTTAAGAGTTTATCCTCTCTCTGGAAGTTTACTTGAACTTTTTTTGAAGATTGTCACTTCAAATTGAATGACAGATTTAACGGCAGCACACCTCAGTTGTTGTACTTCAGGAAATAGAGAAAGAAGAAATACAGAAATAGTCGAAGACAAGGGGTTTCTCTGTGTTTAGTATCAATAGGAGAACAGTTCAAATTATCTGCTTTACAGAACTAAGTAAAAAAAGAGTATTGCAGTAAGGTTCTTTGAGAACAGCGATTAAGGTTTCCCTGTAAACTCCACAGTCTAATAGCAATTAGCAAATTACTTAGTCATCAGATTTGTTTTGAGAGATTGAAATGATCCATCAGTTCCTAAATCTGTTTGCTGTGTTCAAAATTAAAAAAAACCAAACAGCTACCCACAGGCCTTCAGGTTATTATCATGTTGTTTCTGTCTTGTTGGGCACGATGATGATTATTTGTTCATTTAAGTAAATTGCATCTGGATCAAGGGAGTATTCAACGGGATGTTCACAGTTTGGATTCAATTTTGACTCTCCTTCATGGAAGGGAAAATGAGAAAGCTGCCCCACTAATAAGCTTTGTCTGAGCCTTTGCGTCACCAGTTCCCTTTTCATGATTCATGAAAACAGACTGAACTGCTCTGGATTATGATGAGGTCAAAATAAAATATATGAGGAACAATAATCAGTTGTGTAGACAAACACAGATTTGGGAGGCAAGCTGAAGTCTGGGGAGCTGCTCTTGTTGACACCAGCTGCTGGGATCTGGGGCCTGCTGATCATGCCAAGGGGGAAAATGGATAAGGAAAACATCTTGGGAAGCACGGAGAGAATGGGAAAGGGTTTCTTGTTACCATAGAAATTATGTCAGACAGCAAAAATCTTGCCTGATTTTGAACAATAGTTGAGATACAGGCTGTTTCTTGGCAACAGAAATTCAGATTATCTCTTGCCTAATACTGTCTTGTCTAATATCTGTTAATCTGGACATCTTCTTGTTACCTCACAAGGAATTTAAATTTTTGAGTGTGTCACCTCAGAAAGGAGAGGTAGCATTTCCATGAAAGCAGACAGCAGTTTGTGATGTCCTTTATCGCTGGATCATCCCAGAAAACAATACTGTTGATGGGCATAAAAGCAGCTTTGAGAACATACCCTGTGATCTGGCGGTTGTAGTTTTCCACGGGCAGTGAGGATTTTTTACACCCAGGCTTTTTCTCCTTGTCTTTTTTTTTTTTTTTGTAGATGACTCGTCACAGAGCCCATTCAGTTCCTCTTGAAGCCAGCTGTAGTTTTTCCACTGACTTCACTGCACAGGCCTCTCACTCATCACATTGCCCTGGGTGTGATTTCAGCTGCACTCCTGTCTTTCAGAAATAGCTTTCAGCTGGAGTGTGCCTCTGCTCTGCTTCTCCTGTCACCCACATGCCACAGTAGCATGGGAAGCACCTTTTTCTTCAAACACTTCCAAATTTTCAGAACTCTCTTAATATGTGGAATGTGAATCTCTCTTAGACTGAAACAGATCCACTGGCATTTTTACAGCACAGAGTGAAAAAAGTCACAAAGAGTGAAATGAGACTCAATCCCAAATTTATACTCCAGAGTCCCTGTTTTACCATTGATTTCAGTGGTGTTGCAGTAGTAAGGAATGGTTTGGCATTCATAAGGCAGCAGCAGAGATTTAACACACAATTGTGACCTCATCAGTGGACAAATTTATCTACTGAAACATGAATCTGAATAACATCCTTGGGATTATTGTATAACAGCAGACATGGGGTGTGGGTTTCTCTGAAGAACACTGATGATTAAGTGGGCAGCAGAAGGAAGCTTACCTAGAGGAGAGGGAGAAATTGGAGATACCATTGCTACAGTCATTGCCACAGCAGTTACAACATAACCCTGAGCTGCATCCAAACTTACTGCACCATGGCTTTGTGCAGTTAACACAGGTGAAATTTTGGGTTTGTTTTCATCAAATTTAATGAAGCAGCTCTGTACTGTGACTCATAAAGGGCTTGTATCTGTCATGTGCCACATCACATGATTTACTCAGCTCAGCACAGTGCATCAGTTTGCAAAAACAAAAAAACAGATTAGAAAGCTGGATGAAAAACAAGTATTTATTCTTTACCTGTAGAAGAGGCACAGGTTTTTTTCCCTCTTTCCTAAACCCCATTGTGATTTTCTGGGTATATCATGGAGTTGGAATGACAGATTTTGTTAATCTGGCTTCACTGTGCCCTTTGCCTGAGAAGGTCAATCACCCTTTGCACCAGTTTAAAAGAAAAGGCAGCTGTAAAATTCATGTGGTTTTGAACCTGCTGGAGATTGCTCAGTTTAGGGAGCTCTTATACCTAAGTCTGCCTTGTTTGATTTCATCTAGCCCCATACATGCAATGTAAATGAGCAGACCACAGGACCCAGAGTTTACCAGTACTCTTTAAGTTACAAGGGAGAAACAGGCTGAATTTGATTTGTAAACTGAGAAAACATGCACAGGTAAAAACCTGGGGGAAAGGAATGTAGAACTGTTGGATACTGATGCTACTGGCTGCAGTGTCACTGGAATAATTGGTGGAGGTGAGAGATTCATTTTTTGACCAAACGGACACAACTCTGTTGCCATTTATTGAGTGTATTTTGGCATTCTTCTGTTGACTGTAGTGCCATTTCAGCTGCACAATCAGAATTTGACTTTCTGACTGTAGATTTTAAAATTCAGTCCTGACATTGTCTGTTTATTAGCAGATTAGAGATCAAAGCCAGAGAAACATGGAGCATTGAGATGAAGCAAACCCAGCAGGCTGCTGGCAAACTGATCCTGCTCTTTAAAAACGTTTCTTTGCAGCTCATGATATGAGGTTAAGTGAGGCAAACCAACAATTCAGTATACCCAAACCTTAAAAATCTAGACTTGACATTGTTGCATTGTATGTACTCCCTAAACCAGGCTTCTTGAGTTGTTAATGGAAGTTGGTGGTGGTTTTTTCCTTTCCTAAAATTTTTGTTGTGGTTGTTCTTTGATTGTTGCCTTCTGTGTAATGTCATGGTGCTGTTTGGTTTGGAAGTGAGAAGGGAGCTTCTGGGAGTGGAGAAAAAGTAAGAAATGAAATTATGCTGCCAGCACTTCTTGGAAAGTTTATCCCCAAGTTTTAAACACAGCAAGAAAGGGTGAGCACAGACAATGAATGAGACTTCTCAGCATATCCTGACTTGTAGCAGTTCAGATCTGAGGGCCACAATGCAGGCTGCCATAGCAGCCAAAATTCCATGTTGAGAGAGGTCTTAGAGCAGATCCTTAGAAATGCTTTAAATCTACTTTTTCTATTATACTTCTATTTATCTATATAATTTTATTTCTTGAACTATCTTATTTCAAAATACTGGCTGAAATAACACATGATCTTGTATGCATGTGTGTGTATACATGTATAGTATATGTATTGTTTTCTCTTTTACATTGTGTCTTAAGAACCTGTAGTGTTCTACACTATAAGTGTGTTAGTTCAAGTTTTAAAATTGAGGATCTCTTATTTTTCAAACAATATAGAAGATAAGAACATAAGCAAGCATTAGAAATGATGAAAATAATTTAGCAGCATTTACCTGGTCAAGAGGTAGCAGTCTTTCCTGAAAATTTGCATCTCAGTCTGCAATTAAACATGATCTTAATTCTGAATTTTCAGAGGATCAAAAATCCCATTATATCACTCCCCTTTGTGCTTCCTCTCTCTTCAAAATAAATTAGTAACATTTACATTCATATAAGGTAAAAGTGGGGCGGGGGGAGGAAGAAAAGAAAATATCCAGTGAAATATGGCCCAGTGCAATTCTAACAGCTCTTTGCCACCAATTATTTACTTTTTTGCCCCACAGCTCTCCCTGATAGATGAGATATGTCTTCTGATTGTGGTGAAGACTGACATGGATGAAAGTGGAAGGGCTTTTTATCATCTGTTACTGGAAGGAATGGCTGGGGGTCCAAGAGAGGAGGGGAAGGGAAATACTTGGATTATTTGCAAGACCTCTAATAGTCTTCCTCTGGATTTCTTTCTTTCACATTGCTTAATCTTCCATTCCAAGAGCTGGTTACTGCTCATACCAAACCATCTTCATTTCTTACATATATAAGAAAGAAACTCAGTATTAACAAGGAGAAAATACTGTTGCCAATAATTCTTCTGTTCCTGTCATTGCCAGAGGAAAGTAAATAAATCCACAAAGCTTCAGCTCCCTTGAGCTTGTTTACGTTTCTACCCAATTTTCTTCCTCTACAGGTTCACAGGCCTTTTTCAGAACAAAGTCCACCTACAGATCTTAATTCTCCCCTGGTCTAGGTCTCCTACTGGCAGTTTTCTCTAGACCTTCCTATTTTTTTTCCAGCATACACTCTTACAAAGCCAATTGGGTACAGTTGTTCCTAAATTCAACATTTATCCCATCAATCTTCAGGTTCAATCTGTTGCATGCACAAAGGTCTGGCTATCATAAAAATATTACAGAATTCACTAAACCAGTCATTATTACTGTAGATATTGATCCTAAAAATGCTTAAAGGATAGCCTTTTTACATAATATCCCTTCTAAAAAGGGTATTACAGAATTTGCCTGATGTACTATCTATTAATAAAATTCCATGCTCACCAAGGAATTCTTTTGCTATGCTTAAACCTTTAAAATAAAAGACTGGAAATGGCTTAAAACTGTCTGAAAACAATGCTGTTTTTTTCTGCTGAGGAGTAATTATCCTGAAAATCTGTGGAGCCTCCATTGTGAAAATCACTAATCCCTCTAAAATAATGATTTGTAGTGACCCTCCAGAAGCAACTGAAGCTGCTCAATTTAATAACAAAATCCTCTCTTCCATCCCCAGTTTTGTCAAACTGGGAAATAAAAACCACAGCTTTGCTCTGGTTGCTTTTTTTTTTTTTTTTTTAAGTGAATTTGATGCTGTTGTCTGATGGTCAGACAGAGATTGAAATTCTCAAACTAGCAGGGAGAAAGCTGTGGTGCAAACACAGAGGTGGATGAATTGCTTTCCTATTTGGCTGGTTTAGGAACCTTTTCAAATCTTACTGCAATTATGTTTGTTTTTTTTCTAAAAGCATCCTCTTGTGACAAAACAAATCCAAGGGATGAAGAAATTACAGTTCCCAGCAGCCTGTTCCCAATAGCTAATTATCCCTGTTTCTAGTGGAATTGATTTTTAATCACACACAGAAATGTTCCCAAAAAACATGAAGGATTAGACCAGACTGAGGCCAATAGGTATCTTGTTGGGTCTGTTAGTCACAATGATATAGAAGTGCTCCAGATTAGAAAATTGAACAGCACAGTGATCAGGGCTGCATATATGTGCAGTGTTTACTGTCTTTATTACCTGCTTACATTTGTTGCCAGAGTCAGAATAGGAAGGAAATATTTGCAGCTGCTCTGATCTGTTAGTAATGGGTAAGGGCTGGGGTAGGGCATGTGCTTTAATAATTCTCTGTGGTGAATGCTAGACTGGACATTGTTTTCTCACTAAGCATCATGAGTAAGTTCTTTTTCTTTCTTCAGACAGAGAAGAGAATCTCTTCTCAAGCAGTCTGTTTCACATTTCTTGCATTTCTACCTAATCAGGAACAAATTTAATTGTAACAGTTCCCTTTTCATTCAATTCACTTTAGAATTGTTCACTATATTTCTCCTGCCCATAGGTTTTGATTTCTTTTATGCTATTCATTGTCAGCACCAACATATTTTTATAGTAGTTCCCAGTGCAGTACAAGCTGTCCTCTCAAATAATCAGATGTCTCTATGTGTATTTATGGATAAGTGGCACTTTGGTTTGTGTTCATGCAACCAACATAACCATAAGCTGCCACTGATTTCTAGTTCTGTGATCAGTTCCTTTGTATCTGCCCAGAAGAGCTGAATTGTTGATGGAAATTATGCCCACACTGGAATAATGTTTGTATGGGTAAGAAATTGTCTGTCAATTTTGAAATTCCAAAAAATACTAGAACTGCTGTCATCAGACTTGGAGCAGCTGTCACTAAGAAAAGCCTTTTCCTCACTATGTGTGACACATGGCTTAGAAAGTCAGATGTCTGATTCTGGGATATGATTTGTGCATAGCTCCTCATTTGCTTGAAGAATGTTGATGGGAGACATTTAACTTTATTTGCTTTAGATTTGTCCTTGCCTCAGGAACTGGTAAAACCTTTCTTGACATTGAGAGATGCTCCCCCTCTCCTCCTGTTCCGCTCACATAATTCAACATAAAGTGTTGTTTGCATTTAAATGATGTGTGAAGCCTTTTGTGAACGATGCTCAACTCAGGTGTGAATTCCACAGTGACTTCTACTTTGGCTAAACCTGTGTTTAGTTTCCAAGATTTCAGTGGAATACAGAAGAGGTGACTCCACTCAGTTTACAACCACGCACTTGTACCAGTGTTTGGTACAAGTTGCTATTTAGTGTAAGTAAACTATTTGTGTGTTGCAATCAAGACAAAGCAAGAAGTGGGCAAAACTAGTTTAGGAGAGGTATAAAACCTGTTGTTTTGTATGAAGGAGTCTGGCTGAATATATTCATTGATACTCTTGTGCATCAGCCTCTGGGGCAGCTGTCTTTTGCTGTCTCTATTCTTCATAAGAAGCAGCATTTTCCAACGTGCTGCTTGGTGTTCTACTAACAAACTTTGCTGTCTAGAGTCCTGAATCTTATTTTGAGCTTTGGCCAAGAGGCTGAGGGAGGCATTCCTCTCAGAGAGAGACGTGATTTCTGAGCCAAAGAGCCCAGCTCTTGTCAGTGCCTAAATATTTTCTGTTGTTCCCTACTAACTGAGCACATCTCACCTTGCTTTCCCATGCACAATGAATCTTCGTCTGTTCTGTGCAGGGACAGACTCCCCATTAAAAAAAGACAGGTCACATCAAGAGATTACAGCCCCAGATTTAAAAATACCTCTAAAATACTTCAAGTTCTTTACTGGTAAGAACTGGAGGCAGCTGTGTAATCCTCGAAGGCTGCTATTTTAAGGATAATTCCAAAAAGGGACACAATACTGTAGCTGGTTATCACAAGAGTGATGTTCCTGGACTATTTTGGCTTGACAGAGCTAAAAGGAAAAGACAAGAAAAAGACAAATTAGAAAAGCTGTTGCTGTTCAGACTTCCTTGTATTCATGTTTTTAACTGGTTATTTGAAATGTGTACTTTAAAAATATTTTAGCTGGCTGTTTTTGACAAAACTGATTGGAATCCCATGTACAATAATTGCTACTGATTTTCATGCAAAATGCAGAATATTCTTGGGGTGGTGGTGTGTATGTTCATAAAGGCATGCTCCTCTCTTCCTCCCCTGTAAGGAAGTGATTAATCAATTAGTGGAATGACATATAACCTATGTAGAACTAGATCCTCCACTCTAGATATTTCATGCTGAAAAGAGTGGAAATAATTTCATTTTGGCTGTAATTTTTAATTGATTTGGAGTAACTTCATCCTAAAAATGCACTCAGTAAATATACAGCACAGTGACAGAACATGATTAATGTGTGTGCAGCTTTTCCCTTGTGAGGTAGTGAGCAAGAAGTGCTTTTTCAGAAACAGCTATACCAAACCTAAAACAGTTCAGTAATTAAAGATAATAAAGAGTCATGTGTGTTGTTTGTGAATAAGCACTGGAAGTGGCAAGAAAGCTTTGCAATTTTTGATGTATTTTGTGTATTTACTCAGCTTTTTCCTGTGGTGGTTCTGAATTGCACTCGGAGGGGTTCATTAGCTGTGGCATCACAAGGACACTGCTGGACAAACTGCCGTGCCAATAACAACTGCTCTGGCTGCAGAAAGATCACTGAATGTCTTGTGCTTTTGCTTAGCATCAGGTGTGACTTTGCTACCTTTTATCATTCAGTGTTCTAAAGTGGAGAGAATGCAGTAAATGCTGGGAAGGAGTACTCTGCACGCTGCTGGTGTTGCACACTCTTCCCTTTTAAAATGGAGATTTTTGGTCCTCATCCCTCTTTCTGTTCCCATGCAGGGTCGCCAATACCTGTGGGCATTGATGTGCAGGTGGAGAGCATTGACAGTATATCTGAAGTTGACATGGTGAGTAGAACTGGAATAAAGGATTTCAGTAAAAATGCAAGAGGTTCAGAAACATAGATGATAGAGAATACTGCAGTTAAAGAAAGCAAACCCTAAAGAGCACATCCTTGCCTTGAAGCATGCATTTAAAGTAGTAAATGTTGAATTTCTCCCTGGGCCAGAGGGACAGTTCAGAGTGGGCAGTGCTCTGGTTTGAAAACTTCAGCTATTCAATAAACACCCTGGGCTTACACAGAGTTCTCAGTACTCTGCACTTTGCATGATGAGGCTTCATGTCCTTTGCTTCTTTTGCCTATGCAAATCTGAATATTCCATAATTGTGGCATGGAGCTGTAACCATAACAAATGGAAAGAGAAACATTAGCTCCAGAAGTGGTCCTGGGAAGGAGACATTGCAATTAGGGCCCGTGGTACTGGAGTGCAGGCTGTTCATTCTTCAGTCCAAATTGTCACTAATATTGTCAGTATGAACTCCTGCATTCCTTTACAAACTTACCCATATTATAAAATCATATTACAGGGCCATAAAATCCTATTACAGGGGAAGATCTAATACTCCCTTCACAGTATTCTTATCGGAAGCAATTCTTCTACTGAGATAGATGATGTCTGCCTAATAGTACACAATTTATGTAGGTGAACACAGAGCAGCATCCTCTCCATCTCCTCCCACATGTATATTTGAAATTGTGATGTTTCTCTAAATAGGATCATAAAATATTAGTAATAATATTTTATATTTACAGATATTGTAGTTACTATAATTGTTATAAAATATAATTGCTTGCTCTTATGATATTCATTATATTTGTTTCTTTATGATGTATTTAATGAATAAATATACTAATGAATAATGAATAAATATACTAATTTAGCTCTTGTACAATCTTTGTACAAAATGTACAGATTTTTAAAAAATTGACCAAGTGCTCATGAGGCACTCAAATCCCTTTGTAAAAGAACTTTAAAGGAACCACAGTCCATTCTTGGAAAAGGTTGTGAAGATTTCCAGAGGAAATGTTTTTTTCCATTTACCTGTGGTTGGTTTTAAAGCTTTTTTATCACTGCACAGCTGGCTCAGTCCAGACCACTGAAATATATAGAAGTTTTATCTAAGGATAAATGAAGTCTAAGCCTCAGACACCAGGGACAAGAGAAACAACCAAAACCTCAGCAATATTCACATTCAAACTCAATGACCGGTACTTGATTCCTCTCATTAAGGATCTTTCTGATAATGTCCAAAGAAGAAATTGATTTTTTGCATAAATAATTTGTAGTGTTTTCTGTTGCACTTGATTAAAACAAGCATTGTCTCCTTCTGTTTTTGATGAAACAAAGGACTTCACAATGACTTTGTATCTCAGACACTACTGGAAGGATGAGAGACTCTCATTCCGTAGCAACAAAAACAAAAGTATGACTTTCGACGGACGGCTGATAAAGAAGATCTGGGTACCTGATGTGTTTTTTGTGCACTCCAAAAGATCTTTCATCCATGATACAACTGTGGAAAACATCATGCTCCGGGTGTATCCTGATGGCAACGTCCTCTTCAGTCTGAGGTGAGGAAATACCCTTCCCTAAGAAAATCCATGACTGCAATTGTCATGTATTGGCTGTAATTGGAATTACTGGAAATACTTGCAGGTAAGATTCTCATACTGGCATTATTCTCCTGGCAGCACATAATGGTAAACTGGTGACTAGTGTGGCAGTGGGAAAATAAATTTAGGATTGAAAACATATTTTTTTCTATCATTCAGATACTGTTTCCTGTCAAGGGAGTTTATCAAGTGTTAATTCCTTGCCAGGGGCTCCAGCAGTATTGCTACTGAGTACAGTAAAGCCCACAATTATTAACAAAGAAAAAAACATGGTTATGGTTGTTTGTTTCTTTTCTCCTGAGTCTTTTAAAACTGTCTCAGCTATTTTCACCCTGCTTGCCAGTTAACATACCAGTGATACAAGCCAGGGCTCTAGAAAGGCATAGAGAACAGATTTTTGGTGCTGATACCAGCACTGTTGAGGGACTGGAAAGTGAAACAGCAATTCCAGAACTGGAATAGCAAGGTCATTAAATGTGTCTCCCTTCCCTCTGCATGATACTGCTTTGCTTTATGAAGGAGATTTGGATGATGTGGCAGAAATAGTTTTAATGGATGAATTTTCCCCCTAGGGTAAGGAACCTGAGGCCTCTGCATTGCAGAAATAGTTTGTTACTCATTAGCTCTGTTCACAGAGGTGATGTTTCATTCAATCTGGACAGTTTGAAGATTTATGGAAGCATTTGAGATTTTGGCTGTGTAATAATTGTTTCAACAATTAATGAATTTATCTCCTCTGTCATGAGGACATGCAGAAATCCTCACAACAAAAACTGTACACCACTTTAAAGTAGTGTATGTTCAAGAGTCAGACTGACAGTAAGGTACAAAGTGGTGAAGTGTGCTTTTTTTTTGCTGTATTAATTTCCATCATTCTTGAGAAGGAGGGATCAGAGGAGCTGTACCCCACCACTAAGGCTTATATCAGTGATTCTCAGTGAGAAGTAGGATATATTCCTTAGGTGTGCCTTAAAACACCCTTTCTTGTATTACCAGTTTTACATGTAGTTAGTAAATTATATTCCTAATACTTACTTGCAATAAATCTGCGTATTTCAGTTTTTCTTCAGTGCCTGGCATACAGGATTTTATTGAAACAAAGTGAAACAAAAGTCCAGATCTGTTGCTAAAATAATCTTCCTTTTCTTCTTTTTCCCCTGCTCTTTTAGTCAATAGCTGAAGGATGGAAACAACATCTTTACTTGGAAGTCCTACGCATGTCCCACTCTTATGATCTCATTTAAAGCCAGTAAAGTCTTATATTTGTTAAAATTCAGTTACAGGGTGGTTACTGATCACAAATTTTCAAAGGGCACTTGTATAACCAGTATAATCCTCGCTGAAATTCCTGTAGGCTTCCATTTGGGCAAAACCATCATATGACATGCAAGCTGTGACAGGAAAGGAAAATTTGGCAGTATTTACCATATTCAAGTTACTGCCCCTAGCAAGTTCAATTTTATTTGTTCTTTATTAAATACAAAGGGATATTTGTCTTCTAAACTTTTGTGTAAAAGCAGGTGGAATGCAAAATTGTCTTTGCCTAGATTTCCTTAAGCTTTCTACAATATAAAGCAGTTCATTTAACAGGAGAGTAAGCTTCCAGAAATTGCAGCAAATCTCTTTTTGCAATTAAATATTATAACCATTCTAGCTGGGAATAGAGCACTTGGAATAATATTTGCTATAATCTGTAATATTATCTACTTCAGTCTATGAGAAATCAAGTCAAGAAATGTGAACTCCCTTTGTTAATCTTCATAAGTGTAAACCTTCAAAGCAAAATGTGTGAAGGGCTAATGAAGGATCAGGCCAAATATAGAGTTTAAAAATCAAAGATAATGTATTTAATAATAAGGACTATTTATGTTTTAAAAAAAAATATGATCTCTCACTGATTTAGCTTTATTTCACCAACTTGTAGCTAATTGAGAAGCATCTAAAAGGGCAGAAAACCTCAATCAATAGGATTCTAAACAGCAGATTGGTTGAGGATCTCACTAAGATGTGTGCACAGCTAAGAAAGTGTGAAATTTTAATTTTATTTCTGTTTTTGTCTTCCTTTCTGCAGAATTACAGTTTCTGCTATGTGCTTCATGGATTTTAGTAGGTTTCCTCTGGACACACAGAACTGTTCTCTAGAACTGGAAAGTTGTAAGTTTAATTCCTAATTGTTATTCACATGTGCATTCTTACCAGCACTCCATCTTGTGCATAATACCTCTTTCACTTACTTTGATGTGTGACCTGAACCCTTCAGCACGTACATATTGGACTGTAAGCAATTTGGGATCTTTCCAGACCTCAGTGACCTTTGGGAAGGTGGAAAAACCATGATGCACCCTACTTTATTCCCCGTGGGTGTTTATTCCAAGGCCTAAATCTAAACATCTGTCAAAAAGCACGAGGGTTTTTTCTGTGAGAAGAAAATGCGCAGGTTGAAAGTAAAATAAAATGTGAATATTTGACTTGTTGGAAAAATGAAAATGGGTGCTTGTGTTACTGTGAAGCATCTGCTTTTTCACCCCTGCCTCAGCTGTAAGCTTCTGGCAGGGCACAGGACTGGGCTGCACTTGGAGCAAGAGGGAGCATGGTCTTTTTCCATGCCAACTGACAAACTGGTGTGAAAAAACGTCTCTTTGGGGTTTTCCCAGATTGGTTGAGTGCTCTCCTCTTCCTAAGAAAGGAAAGAGGAAGTGATTTAGTTTAGTAACTTTATAACTTCAGTTTCTGCTTTCTCACAGATGCGTACAATGAAGATGATCTGATGTTGTACTGGAAACATGGCAACAAGTCCCTGAGCACAGATGAGCACATTTCCCTCTCCCAGTTCTTCATTGAGGAATTCAGTGCTTCCAGTGGACTTGCTTTTTACAGCAGTACTGGTATAGTAAGCCCCTCTCCTTAGAAGAGAGAAGCACAGGATAAAACCATGGAGAATGTCTTTCACATTCAAATTCTTTGCTAATAAATGGCAGTGGCTGCTGAGAGATCAGTTAAAATGAGGTCTCGTCAGTCTGGAGCCTTGGTTCTCTTTGCACTACCAATATAAAACCTTATTTTAGGAAAAAAGGGCCATAATAATACTTGTAACTTCATATTTGGCATTAAGAACCTGAAAAAAAAAAAGCACAGCAACCAAAAACGAGCAACCAAAAACGTGCTGTTATGAGCACTTGCAAATCATGGTGTTTCTCTGAAAGCCATTGGAGTATTGAATTTACAGGAATCTTTATGTTCTGGCTATATAGAAAAGCATCAAAATGGAAATCCTAAAGGGTCAGATACTAGAAAGCAGACAGGAGGAATTCCATTGTGTTTTATTGGTTAAAATATCCTCACTTTTGGAGCTGTGTAATGTCACTAAAAATCTGCTGACTGGAGGATTTTCATATGAGACTGTTTTATATTAGATCTGTTCAGGTCTAATTAATCATTTGCCTAATTTTCCTTGTTTATAAATAAAGTTGCAGGAAAAAAAAAACACTGCGTCAGTGCAACATAGTTTAAATTCAGGTTAATCTGCCCCAGACAGGTTTTTGTTTCTCCCTGTAGATCTTGCTCTGTACTTTCTGGCAAACTGCAGAGGCTTTAAGAGTTTATTGTAGTCTTGATTTCATGCAAGGTGGGGTTTGTTTTCTTTGTATTTTACATGAAATTATAGATTTTTAAACACTTCTCTATGTAAGTAGTCTAACTATAGTTTTTTTAACCAAAGAAAACAGCACTCTTGCTATTGTACTTTGCAGCGTGAGTCAATTCATTTCAGTTTGGTTATTGCCTTTTATATCAAAACAGATGAATAAAACAGAAACTATTCCATTTAATATGATAAAGTGCACAACTCTTTGGAAAAAAGCCGAAAGCAGCAGACAGATTTATTTGATATACTTTATTTACAGGTTATTTTTGCATTCAAAAGGGGGCCATTCAAGTTTTCGGTGGCTGCTACTGAATGCAGAAATCCCAGTTTAAATTATGATGCAGCCTAAGTCATGAGGAATTCACAGCTTGATAAGGTTCTTCACCCTTATCTCCTGCTCCTGTATGAGCTAAGAACAGAGCTCCATCTTTCAAGAGCCACTGTCATGTGAGAGGAGGGTGAGTGATACCCTGCTAGGATAACTGTGCCTTGCTGAGAGCTACATCAAATTTGTCCTTTTTCTAAGAAGGAGACTGGGATATTTTCCACCTAGGACTGGGTTCCAGGAACTCAGCTGGCTTCTTTCTGCCTTGCTATTCTCACCAAAAACACTCATGGCAAGCAAATGGAGCTTTGTGCACCCTCACAATGCCTCTGCACCCAGGGCTTTGCAGCACCCTCACAGCATCTTTGACTTTGCAGAGTGTAACTGCTTTACACTTGACATGCAGAGCTTCTGATGGTGACCTTATTCAGCAGCATATAGGTGAAAGAGAAGACTTTTTTAAAGTCCCAGGGACCACTGGGAAGTACCTGAATAATGCTTGTAGCATATCTGGTAATCAGAATGCTGTCCTTTGTAGGCTTATACACTTGTCTTTGGCTTTGAGGTTTTGTTTTGCTCAGGAGGTTCCACTTTCTCTTGTTTTTTTGTTTCTTGTTGGATGAAAATTTACCTTCTAAGTAAATAATAGTGGAGAACAAACAGCACCACTCTGATGAGAGTCATCATTCCCACAAAGCAGCTTTCTGCATTTCAGGTTCTGCATATCCTTTCCTGTGAATCTCAGTGAACAACACCTGTGGTGTTTAGGCTTTTGGAGTTCCCAGGCCTCCAGAGGAGCAACAATTTAAATCCATTTTAGAGACAATGATCTTTGAAACAAAAAGCCTTCTCCACAACTGCAAACTCAAGAGAATGTTTAATATTATTTGGGGTTCATTTTGCTATGTTCTTCTCTATAGAATCACTCGTTGTGATGGCAGGACTGCTCCAACACAGGTTCACGGATGCCTCTGTCTGTCCTGGACCGGCAGATGCTCGGCAGCCACCCACTTTTGCCTTTTTACCTCCCTGTAAGGTGGTTTCCCTGCCGTGGCAGGAGGTACAGCACGGATGCAGTGCTGCACAGGCAGAACACGCCCCAAAATTCACTAGATGGCACCCTGTCCTCTGAAGTGAGTGCTGGGCCAGCAAGCAGGTGGCTTCCACCGAAAAAAAAAATGGAAAGAAGGGCTGCTTCTTGTCATTTCAGAGAAGGCAGGGTGTTGGCATCACTGAACAAAGTGTCCTGTCTGTATTCTCCTGGCAGTTTCACTTCAAGTCTATTTAATTATTTCAGTTTCCCAACCCCAGTATTTTAGACATGCAGCCGTGACCCTTCACTCCCATAAATGAGGGAGGATGGACAGTTTGTAAAGCACTGTGTAAAACTAAGGTGGTGGCAAGATTTCTGAGGCATTTACTGCTCCTGCTGTGTGGATACACCACTCCTGCCAGAAGGAGGGGCCAGCAAACGGAGCTCACAAATAACACAGCTCTCTTCTCTTCTCCCCCACCTTTTTTTTTTCCCAATAGGTTGGTACAATCGACTTTTTATCAACTTTGCACTCCGCAGACATATTTTCTTTTTTGTGCTACAATCCTATTTCCCAGCCATGCTGATGGTGATGCTGTCTTGGGTTTCCTTTTGGATTGATAGAAGAGCTGTTCCTGCCAGGGTGTCATTAGGTAAATTCTGTATATTCTTTGGGAAGTATAGAATTGAGAGGGGATGGTTTGGAGTTACCTTAGCTTATGTACACAGGACATGAGCAAAACGATCAGATAATTGCCTGAACAACACTGTTATTACCTCTGTTGTCATTACCTGTAGTCAGTCTCTGCATTTGGAAAGGGGATGTTTGTTCAGACTGGCTTTGCTATTTTTGGAAACAGCTCATGCACCACAAAAGCAAAAAGGGATGATTCTGCAGATTTCCTGATAGAATTTGACTTAATTGCAAAACCTGGGTTTTCCTTCCCTCTTCCCAGCAAAGCAACAGGTAGGAACAGGCAGTCAGATCCCTCCCCAGATCCATGGATTGTTACATGAAGCCAAATCTATGCAAAAGCTCTGCAGCTCTTCTTTTTCTCAAGAAACATTCATAGTCTTCCTACCAACTTGGAAACAGTTTACCTGTGTGGCAAAACCTTTCATTGTGGGACACCTTAGAAATGTTTGCTTTGTATGTTGTCAAATTTCTTAGACAAGAGAAAAAGACCTCATTTTTCTCTATATCAATCTAGAAAAAAATAGAACTGTAGCCACTCAGGTCCCTTTCTATTGGTACAGTCTAAAGCTATTAATACATGAGATATAAATCTACATGTTAATCTGTAAACAAATCATGGTACCTCCTACCTACTTTTATTAATGCATCTATGAATTCCTTTTATTTAGAAGAAATTTAACTTCATCTTTAAAAAGAACTTTTTAATTCTCAGTAGGCAATTTTTAATGTTGTCAAGATGGTTTTGCTGATCATGTTCTTTATGTATGGATTTCTGCAGAAGGTTATGCATCAGGAATTCCATGAATAAAGCACATTTCATTAGCATAATCATACATAATTTATAGGAAACCTTAACTACAAAGTTTAATAAGCCTAGCTCCTTAGCCTAGAGTATATATATATTAAATGAATTGATTTCCTCTTATATGGTGTATTTCAAACTCCATCCTTCAACCTAAAGAAGCTGCAGAGAGGTAGGGGGAAAATTCTTGTATATTGCAGGACTTGAACAGGTGTAGAACTGGAGAAGGGCTGCAGAGACTCAGCTGACAGTGCTGTCTCACAGATATCAAGATGTTTTCACTTCTAGAGTTACACTGATTTCTTTAAAAGCAGAGCCTGAGTTGGGTGTTGGTTTTTTTTTCTCTGAGCTGGAGCAAACCAAAATTAGATGAATATCTGATGTAAGAGCAGAGATTGAAAAGATGAGGGTGAAATTCTGATCATACTGAGGCAAACAATATTTTTTTCTTAGTTTCAGTCCTGTAGCATTTTTATGCTAGATTGTTTTTAGAGAGCCCTGGAGTTATGACAGGGACACACAGGCTGATATATGTTCTCAATAAATACAATTTGAGAAAGAGTTGTGAGGGAAAATTATTATTATTTAGCGATTTTCCTGGACAAGAAAATATGTGGTGGCAACCTTGGCTCTGGGAAGTGAAGGACAACCACAAACCTTTCACCTGTGTGTGGCAGTGCCCAAAGCTGTCACAGAAATGTGTTCTTTATGCTGCTCAATGACCATTCTGAGCTGAGAGATGATTTAGTGCTCTCAGCATCGTGTGTGATGGGTCCTTCATGGTTCACTCCCCTTCTCAGAGCCTGTGTGAGGAAGTTAAAGGGGGTGTCAATCACATGGCCTCACAAAGCTGTGCTGCCCAAGCAGTGGTGATGAGCTGAACAGAACCAGCTGGCCAGAACTGTGATAACCTCTCTTTTCTCTCTGGCAGGTATAACTACAGTGCTGACAATGTCGACCATCATGACAGGAGTAAGTGCCTCAATGCCTCAAGTGTCTTACATAAAGGCTGTGGATGTGTATTTATGGATCAGCTTCCTTTTTGTCTTCCTGTCAGTCATCGAGTATGCAGCAGTGAACTATCTCACCACAATTGAAGAGAGAAAACAACTCAAAAAAAGGGGCAAGGTACAACCCTCTGTGTTTTTTTATCTTCTGAAAGCATCATGGAAGCCATGGAGTAGTCCTTATACACCACTGTGATAACAGAACAGTAACAATCTCTGTCTCCACTCTGTATCTCACCTTTTTTTTCACTTGGGTGAAGGGAGACCAAGTGTCCTCCTCTCTGAGATCCTGAGAGGTTTGTGTTTCTCTCCCTTTTCTTGTGGCAGAGGTTAGGGATATTTTTTTGCCCCCTTTTTTCCCTCCTCAGAGGAATATAACCTTCCTTCTATTTTCAAATACTTATCAATCAATCTTCTGTCTCTGAAATAGACCTCAGCATACCCTCATATGATATCCCTACCTGTTTCCTGTTTCTTTTTTGTCCCAAGACCAGATGAATGACAAGGTCATTTTTATAAAAGCGTGCCTGAAGCAGAAATAGTCATAAGTTAAATATCTGCTTTCTGTGAAGCTCTCACTTAAAACCTTTGCTTGAAGAATATCCCCTCTGTAAACTCACTTGCTGGAATATCATGAGGGGAAGAACACAGGAAGGATGCATATGTTGCTCACATGATAGGATAATCCCATCAAAAACCTACTGCCAGAAATGTTTGCAGTCATTTCCCACAACTCCAGCAACACAGACCTACAGGAGAGAGTTTGATTCTTCTATTTCAGAAGCTGAGGCACAAATTGCCAGCCAGCAGCTGGCAGTAATCAGGCAGACAAGTGTGTTTTATGACATTTGATGACATTTCCTTGCTCATGTCCCGCTTAGGGGGGCAGGCCCCACAGAGAGCCATACTGTGGGAAAGCCCTGTTCTCCACATGCTCTCCACAGAGAGAACAACACTGAGGGGAAAGCTTTCTTTATCTTCTGTTTTGCTCATTTATGATTTGCCAAAATGGCTCCTGCTAGACACGGAGTAACTCTCCTTTGTTGCCAGGCTTCGGGAATGTACAGCATGGACGCAGTGCAAGCAATGGCTTTTGATGGCTGCTTCCACGACACGGATGTGGACATGGATCTGACTCCCTTCCCAGACCCCTGTGAGGAGAATGAGACCAGGGCAAGTCAAACCAACATCTCCAATGCAGACACACCTCGCTTGAAGAGGAAGAGATCTCTGAAGGGAAACGTGGGCAGGATTATTTTACAGAACAATCATGTTATTGACACATATTCCAGGATTATATTTCCCAGTGTATATATTGTGTTCAACTTTTTTTACTGGGGTTTGTACATATGAACTAAAATGCTTATAAACTAGAACTTACTGTGTGTATGAGGGTTGCATCATACTTCAAAAATAATGCAACAGCAGTAGAGGAAAAGGTTATGATTTTCCAAAAGAGACTTCTACATCAAACCTGGGCTGGTTTGGTCAGCAGCAAAACTCCTCGTGAAAAACTCTCACGTGTCTGGGATCTTTTCCAGCTGGACTATGCAGAGCTTCACTGGGGTGATCCATCCCATGCACAGGCTCCGCTGCAGTAGCACAGGAGCTCACTAAGGGAGCCCTTTGTCAGGCCCCTGAACAGACAGCAGCTCCCACCTGAGGTATTGCCCTGTCTCTGTCTGCACTCCAACCCTTCCTCTCGAATCAGCCTCTCTGTTCTTCACCTGTGCTCCATTTTGGTCGGCAATCGGCACCAACCACTTTGGGATAGCTCCTGTTCTTGTTTCACTTCCTGCATTTCAGTTTGCCAGGGCAACCTGTGTGCACCTCAGCAGCCTCTGCCCTGGGATGGGAACCAGGGGGAAAATGATGGATCACCAGTGCAGTAGGGACCAGCAGGAAGCAGAAGGCCAGGCTGATGGGGCTTTGTAGATCATGCCTCAACAGCACTTCAAGAAAACCCTTCACCCTTGTCAGCTGTCCATGAATCTCCATGGGACCTCTGTTTTGAAGAATCTGGCTCACCAGTCCCTGAGGCAGCACAGGAACAACATCCCAGACCCAGTGCACTTGCAGCCATTTCCCAGGTGGGTGAGCAGCATCCCAGCACGAGCTGTGTCCTTCACATGTCACCTCTGCCCCACCTCGACCTGCTGTAATCCCCTGCTTCCTGCAGAACCCTTTGGTTTAAAAACACAGGTTTGGAGACGCAGGTTTTAGACAACTTTGTCAAGAGATCAAAGCAACCACGCCTTCAGTTCTTCTGTTTATGTTGCACGTGAACTTGGGGTTTTGCCTCCCTCCCTCTCCTTTTGGCTTTTGAGATTGAATGTTCCAGTGAGGAGAAGCTGCCTCTGCCCCTTGCAGCAGTCATCCCCAGCACAGTTCCAGGAAAAAAAGGAAACAGCTGTGCCAAAACAGAGACATATACAGGAAACCTGTCAGTCTCAGATGAATCCTTCATGGAAATATCCTTAGGTTCAGGCTAAGGAGGCTGAATTAAGGATGTTCAGGGATAAACACAAAGTTTTCACAACTCCAGGAAAAGAAGCAAGATTACTTTTGTAACTTTCCCAAATAAGGAGCATTTTCCACTAAATTCCTTGGATCCATCTGTCATTTCATGAGCTGAGTTTATATTTACAAAGTCAGTTCAAAATTATCATTTGTGGTGGAAAAAAGTGTCACAAGGTAAATGCTTGGTCACTGCTTGGTCAAGTTTATTGGTCAAGAAAGTGGGAATAAAATTGGAAGCCTAAATCACTCTCTGGTTTCTTCATTTACTTTATTTTATTTATTTACTTTTTTTTTCTTATTTAATTTACTTATTTTCTTGCTCTCATCTTGTTTGTTCAGAGCATGGTGACGTCTCAACTTTTTCAAAGAGCTTTCTTGTCAGGCTCCCATTTCCAGAGCTGGAGAAGCGGTGACATTGTGCGTGCTGAGTGACTGAAATCTCACCGAGTGAGTGGCACAGAGTGCTGCCAAACAAATGTGTCAGAGCTGAGACAGCTTTGATACTTTTCCAGGAAATCCTGTCATGGAAAGCAGAACCATACCAGGAACGACAATGCTGGGAATGCAAAGTGAAAGGACACACAGGCTTTGGCAACAGTAACAGCACACCAGACCTCAAGCCGAGCAGATGTATAGTGTAGCTGCATATAAAAAGACACCATCACAGCCTTGTTCCTGCACTGCCAATATGGGGCATCCTGCACAGATGTTCCAGATTACCCAAGAAGATCCCATCTAGTTGCTCCAGATGTGTAATGTGTCTTCCAGACTTTTCCCATGAACAAATGTAACATCGTTTTCACATATTTTTTTTTTTAATCTGCCCTACAAGAAGTATTTGTTGTGTAGCCAACAGTGAAGCCTCAGCCTCCAACAGAAAAAACACTCCAAATCAGTTCCCTTTCCTCCCCTCTTTCAGATTGAAGCCATTCCCCCTTGTCCTCTCACTACATGCTCTTGTAAATGATATTTAACTGCATGCTTTTACAGCAAAGCTTAAGATTTTTTATCTTCTTAATGGAGTGACAGGGATGATATCAGGATACATTATGCTTAAAAAAATCTATTGCTTGAACAAATAGTAAAAGATAACAATCAGTATTTCAACGAATGATTTCTTGTCTAGAGGGTGCTAGAGGGCTGGCTAAGTTCCCATGACCCTCTGAAGTGTGTGTTAACTTCCTGACAGGTATGGTAATAAATACTTTCAGACAATTTGTCTCTGCAGATCAGCACGGAAGTCTTTAAAAAGGTATTCACGAGAATTTCCCGTTCCTGCCGGTTTTGCAGCCAGTCCCATGCGTGGGTTTTATATGCCACAACATTTACTGCGAGTTAAAGCACCGCAGGCATTATGTAAATACATATTTGTGTGAGTGTTCATCCTGGTGGCACTCAGGCAGTGACGCTGAGGATACTTTGTGGATTTTTGGAGCAGAAATGACAGCTTGTCATGATTTCTCTGACCGGCCGAGGTGCAGGATGTGGCCTCGCTATTTTTATCACTATTCATCTGCTGCTGCACCCATCTGTAATAAGAAAACATCCTGTGGTTATTAGCGTAGGTGATGCAAACTTTTAAGTCCGGACAGTTTAATTCTTAAACGTTTCATAATTCTTCAAACTATCAGTACACAAGAATAAAGCTTTAGCAAAACCTACCTAACATCTTTTTCTGATGTCATTAGCCAGTGTAAACGAAACGATTAACAGGTCTCTTTAGTAAAGGTAATTAAAAGTACTCCTGGAAGTTTTCATGTGCTCGGTAAGAATTCTGATGATTTCTCTGAGGGAGCCTCAGGGGGACTCTGGAACAGGATTTTGGTCCGGGAAAAGAAAAAAAGCTAAAGCCCAGACACTGTTGTGTGTACGAAGCAAAATTTAATCCTCTGAATAACTTCAGTGGAGACACCGTGGCGCTCCTGTTGGAATACACGCAGGAACAACGCTGGAATAGCGCCGTATTTCCTTCTGGCCGCCCGGAAGCGTCTCCTCCCGAGGCACCCAGCGCGGCAGGCCCGCCTCCCGCTTCCTTCCAGCGGGCACCTGCTGCGGCCCGGCCCCGGCCCCGGCCCGGAGCGCTCCGGCCCTCCCTGCCGCCCGCAGGGTGAGTGCGGGGCTGCGGGAAGCGGAGGGGAAGGAAGCGGAGGGGAAGGAAGGGGAGGGGAAAGAAGCGGAGGGGAAGGAAAGGGAGGGGAAGGAAGGGGAGGGCCGGCGGCGGGACCGCGTGTCCCCGGAGCCGCCGTGCCCGCCCGTGCTCTCGCTGCTCCCCACGGCCGAGTCCCCGTGCGGGAACGGGCGCTGTGTCCCTGTGCGAGTGACACTGGCGACACTGGCCACAGCAGCTGTCCCCGTCTGCCGCTGGGATCGTGCTCCAGCCCTGCCCAGAAGCGCCTGGGGGTGTGGGGAGGTGAGAAATGGGACCGGACCGGCCGTGCGCTGATCGCGGCCTGCGTGAGGGAGCGGATTGCGCCCCTCTGCTCCGCTCGCATGAGATCCCAGCTGGAGAGGTGGTCCCAGCAGGGAAGGACAGGGCTGTTGGAGCCCGAGATCCCAGGTGGAGAGGTGGTCCCAGCAGGGAAGGACAGGGCTGTTGGAGCCAATCCAGAGGATGCCACCCAGATGCTTAGTGCCTCTCCTGGGAAGACAGGCTGAGAGGGCTGAGCTGGTTCAGTGTGGAGAAGAGGAGGCTCTCCAGGGATATCTTTGCAGTAGTTAAATACTGTATGAGAGACAGAGAAAAGACTTTTTACCAGGGCCTGCAGCAAAAGGACAAGGGGGAAAGATTTTACATTGTAAGAGGGTAGGGGATAATAAGAGTATAATTTAGATTGGATGTAAGGGAGGATTTTTTCTGGTGAGGCCCTGGCAGCTTGCCCAGGGAAGTTGTGGCTGCCCCATCCCTGGCAGTGTCCAAGGCTGGGCTGGATAAGGCTTTGACCAAATAGATGGAGAGGGAGATGTCCCTGCCCATGGCAGAGGCTTGTGCCAGGTGATCTCTTCCAACCCAAACCATTTGGTGGGTTTGCAGTTGTAAATAACTAATAAAACACTACAGCGAAGCAAGTGGTGTAAATGAAGCAGAGTTCTGTGAACAGCACATATGTGAATTTAACTTGATTGGATCAATCTGAGAGAGCTGAGAGGTTGAAATGACTGCTTTAGGTCTGGAATTCAAAACCATCAAATCAGAAATGGTTGCATTTGTGTTCCTGACATTTGGGGAATGCCAGTTTTAGATCCTAGTGCCAGCAGCATCTTCAGATCTTGCTGCCAACAAGGGACTAATTTTCAGTCTTTAATTTTTTTATGCATTCCCTTGCCTCATGTAGAACAGTGGCTTCTTGCTACTGGGAATGTCCATTCTACTGGGAAGGTGGTGATGTGAATTCCCTCCTGCAGGACTGAGGTGACCACAGGTTACTACTGAGGGACAGGCTGCCCCAGGAGCTGGGGGAGCAGCAGGGTGTCCTGCTGCACAGGAGAACTTAGTGCTGCCTGGAAATACCAGAACTGGGGTTTAGGTTTCAGGATAAGGGGTCTGTACAAGAAAAAGAATCTCAGTACATTGATAGCATTTGCTTTTGGGAGCAAAGCTGCCATTTTTACTGGGAAATGAAAGCATCAGCAGGTTCTTACTCCTCCTGGGTTGGCTTCTCAGACTGGCTCAGACGTGCCCAGAGTCAGTTTGGGTTGGCTGGCCCAGGAGGAGTCAGAACACTTGGCTGCCAGGCTGTGCTGCTCCAGGGCTTGGTGCTGGCTCATCCTCAGTGTGCTTAGCTCAGCTCCCCAGGCAGGCTTCTACTGCTGCTCTGGGGGAGGAGATGCTGGAGCAGACTCTTGGCAAGTCTGCCTGCTCATGGTTTAGGCATACTGTTAACTCGATTTGTGCCTTAACTTTCCTGAGAACTTGGCACCTAAACCATTTGTGAATTAACTTTTTTATTCTCGCATAATTGTACACAACGTACTGTGGAAAAACAAAATAAATTATTTTCAGCTATAAAATTAAATGTCTTTACTTGTATGATGGAATTATTTTTATTCTACATAAACCACGAAGTTTGACAGCTTGGTAGAAATTAAAGTAGAATCTTGGCATTTTGGTTTTTAAACTGGTACATTTTACAAGTCTTAAGCTTGTAGATTTAGTAATTACATAGCATCAACAGATAGGCCTAACACATTCCTTCTTTTGTAAACTGATACTGTTGAAGGAAGTGTGATAAGAATACAAGTTTTTGATCCTGCCCCCTCTCTCCACCTCCCTCTGCATGTTGCCACTCAATCTCTTAAAGCTGAGTTGTTTTTTATTTTCCCAATAATTTGCAGCTGTTGCTACAGAAGACCACTTGCTCACAGGTTCTTTGTGTGGGTGGGTTCCTGCATTGGTAATGATCCACTGGGTTTCATCACATGTTCTTCAGTATAAACTCAGCTGTGGGATGTGAGCTCCTGCAAGGAATGGCTCCCAGCAGAGCCCTTTGGAGTTTGCTGAGGTTTGAGAGGGGATTGGAGGCCTTTTGGAGCAGTAAGTGAGCACCTGAAGCCACAGCTCTTCCCAGTATACTTTGATATCCCCCCTGGATAAGGCAAGAGCTGCTGCCCTGGGCCTGTGACCTCTTGAGGTTGTGTTGCTGGCTGATTGTTTGGGGTCTCTCTCTCTCTCTCCCCCTCTCTCTCCCCCCCCCTCTTGGACAGGAAGATGCCCAAGAAAGGAGGGAAGATTGCTGATGTGCCCAAGGAAGCACAGGCACAGTGTAAACGACCCAAGTTGGATGCAGCTGATTCTCCATCCATCCTCACTTTTGAGAGCCCAGACAGCCTCTTCAGGAGCCTGATCTCTCCCATTGAAGAAGAGGTGTTTTTCAGGGAGTACTGGGAGCAAAAGCCACTGCTTGTTCGGAGAAATGATGTCCTGGTGGCTGCTTACTACCAGTCCCTGTTCCAGCTGTCACACTTGAAGGAGCTGTGCAGCCAGGGCTTGTACTACGGACAAGATGTGAATGTCTGCAGGTGTGTGAATGGGAAAAAGAAGGTTTTAAATAAAGAAGGCAGAGTGAATTATGTGCAGCTGAAGAAGGATTTTGACCAGAAGAAGGCAACAATACAGTTTCATCAGCCTCAGAGATTTAAGGTGGGATTGTTTCATTGTTGTTAATGCTTGCTTTACAATGTGTAGCTTTTGTTGAGTGGCACCAGACACGGCTTTGTATCTGTGCCCAGGGGAGGTTGGCATTGATGACTTGCTGAAATCCTTGCATAAACTGTATTAAAACACAGTTTATACTTCTGCACTGCCCATCATGTTTCAGTGCTCTGCAGTAAGAGCAAAGTCAGATTCATGCTATAATGTTTTTCTGTAATGTTAAGTATTCTTTTTAAATGCATATAATTGATGATTGGGCATCTGTGCTTAAATTACCTCTTCTGCCTTGATTTTCCCTTGTGCAAACAGAGACTTTTGTACCACTCCCCTTTAATCAAGGGTGAGGTGTGAAACCATGTCAAGTATTTCCAGGACACTCCACCATTCTTGCCAATGGATTAGCATTAAATTGCACCATGGAAGTGACCACTCCATTTTAGCTGAGTGTCCTCAGTCTCTGTGTATGGGAAGGAGACAATGGTGCTGCACAGTTGTAAAGGACTTGGATACCTGTAGGTACTTTGATTTAGGCAGTCTTTTTTTTTGTCCCAGGGTCTCAGCACAGTCCAATTGTGACCCCAGATAAGAACCCAAATACACAGTGTAGTGTTACTGACTGATCTCAGTTGTTGGTGTCTCCTGATGTTTCCCTGTCACGTGTTGGGAATGGATGAGTAAAGTTTGTGCTTGAATATTCCCAAGCAATTGGAGTCACTTGTAATAGGTGTCTAGCCTTTGTGTTATTCTCGCTTTGATGCAGGTGGGATGGTGGGTGGTTTATTCTCTTTTGTTCAGCCTTGTTTTTCCCTGGCTTTGCAGCCTGAAGTTGATACAGGGAAGAGAGCAATCAGTGTTCTGTTGAGGCACCAGAATTTTTGGCTTACCCACGACTTCCATCATGGTAGATCTCCTTTGCTAGTACAATACTTGCCTTGAGGAGAAACTGCTTCCCAGGCTGTATGTTCCTGTGGGGATGTCAGCATTCTTCAGCAGTGATGGGCTTTTGGCAGCCAGGCTTGGCTGAGCTCTTCAGTAGTAACAGCTTTTATTTTTTATTTTTTTTTTTTTTTTAATAGGAGGAGCTGTGGAAGATTCAGGAGAAGCTGGAGTGTTACTTTGGGTCGCTGGTGGGATCCAATGTTTACATCACCCCCCAGGGGTCTCAGGGCCTTCCCCCTCACTACGATGATGTTGAGGTAGGACAACACCACCTTGTCTGTGAGACCCTTTGTGGGCTCCTGGTAGTGGATGCCTCTGTGTGTGCTTCCACCTCTCCTCCACCATAAACAGTCTAGAAAGAGTTCTGTTTTTCCACTGAAAACTTAGGGTAATTATTTGCAAGTGTTTCCTTATATGTAAAAGTCTACTAATAGTTATGGCTAAGTTTAAGTGACTGGAGAGGAACAGGATTTCCAAATTTGGAATAAAACAGATCACAACTCTTCTCTCTGTTGTCTCTAAATAGAGTACAAGAATTTAGTTCAAGTGTAAATTTCTGCATTTAGATATCTAAAAGGTAATGTGAAAGGAGTTGTATTTGCCATGCTGTGGACTAGCTAAAAGCAGGGAAGGGGAAAACCTGTATTTGTCAGAAAAGCAACCTGTGCTACTATTTCTGTCCCTGGTTTGTGGCTTGGTTCAACAGACTTGGTAAGACAGAAGATAAATTAAAATACCTGATGAGTTGGATGTGTGAGGGGGAGCAGGGCTTCCTTAGGCCCCCAAAAAACTTTGGATTCCTGGTCTTTTTCAGGTGTTCATCCTTCAGCTGGAAGGAGAGAAGCACTGGCGACTCTACAAACCAACAGTGCCTTTGGCTCGGGAGTATAACGTTGAGCCAGAAGATAGGATTGGGAGTCCCACACATGAATTCATATTAAAGGTATTTTAATTTAATTGCTCCAGGTGGTCTGTGGGCTGTGGCAGCAAGAAAAGTAATCATGCTTGGTGGGCTCTTAGAAGTCGCTGATGTGACCAAGTTTAAGGACCGTAAGATTAAAATGGAATCAGATTTCACTGTTGATTTGTGACCTTTCTCTTTGTGCTGGGGTTTATGGGATAAGCCATGAGTAAACTGATCTTTCCTTTGTGGAGGCAATTTCATGTGCTTTGCACTTCTTTCTTGTCTTGACTTCCTCAATCTGTATTATTTTCTGTGGGGATACTTAATTTACATTGGTGAGAAGACAGGGAAGGAGGAAGGTTCTACTTTTTTTTTTTTTAAGTGTTTTAACTAAAATTTTCAGGCTACTTGACTTTCCTTGAGAAACACTGGCCTTTTCTTTTGTTATGATCTGAGCACATACCCAGGGCACTGAATTACCACCAGATTCATCTCAGCTGCTTCTTTTTCCCCTTCCTGCAGCTCAGCAGGACTGTGCATGTCCTACCATGTGAAAAGCTCATGTTTGCAGACAGGTGTAGAGAAAATACTGACAGTAGGTTGGAAAGTTTGAGGTGTTGGACTTCTGGCTTAGAGTGCTTTATGTTATTGAAGTGTACATTGGAGAATTCCTCTATTTTGTGATTTTTAAAGAATATATATTGTCAGTCTGTCTGCTCAGAGAGTATTTTCTGTGGAGTACAGTAAGGTTTGATCAAGTGGCCTAAATGTATCAATTCTTTCATTTTCCTGCAGCCAGGTGACTTACTGTACTTCCCAAGAGGGACTATTCACCAGGCTGACACTCCTCATGGGATCTCCTATTCAACACACGTGACCATCAGCACCTACCAAAACAAGTAATTCCCCTTTATTTCTTGTTTTGTATGGCTTTCCTCTGCCAGATGATGTGTGTGAACAGGAGAGACCTGAAGCTGGTGTTTCAAGGAAGTGATGTCCTGTTTCTTAAAAAAAAATAACCTTGTAATGAGCTTTGCTTGGGTCTTTTTGTGTTCATCCTATTCAGCCCTTGTGTGGTTTGTGTTTGCCTGTGGGTATTACAGGGACAGAGCAAGTTAGCTTCCCCCGAGGTGTGGTGATGTGGGATATAGGTAGATACCCCACTATTACATAGGTGCCCTGCTGTTAGGGACAGAATTTAAGTGTTGAGGTAGCAGTAATTGAAGTTTTGAGGGTTGGGGGAAGGAGGAGAATGAGACCATTTTTTGAAACAGCCTCTTTGCCAGGTTTTCATGCAGCAAGTTTGATTGCTTTTTAATTGCTTTATTTATTATTTACCAGCTGGAGACTTTAATGTGGAAGATAATGTTACAACTGCAAACTCACTGTTGTTTTTTAAAAAAAAGCCCTCACCAGTGGCTGCAGTTGCTGTTCATTTCATAATCCAGATAAAGAGCTGTGACTTATTCTTTTCATCAGGTTTCCTCCTGTATCTGATGGTTACCCACACCTCTTCTGACAGATTCTTCCATGCAGCTATTCTCTGCTAATCTGTATTTTTCATTTTCTACCCCCTGCATGAGAGTCAGATTTCTTTAGACACAGGCCAGGTCCTGGTCCCTGCATTGAAACATTGTTATCATAGAGAGAAAAAAATGCTGCTGCTGCCACCTAATCAGCTCTCAGGTGCTGGGCTTGGAGTTATTGGCCTAATTGAGGAATTGGGAAGTATTTCTGTTAGCTGCAAAGCAGGGCAGAACAAGTTTGGGCATATTTTAGATAACTGTGGGATGAATCTCTAACCATCAGCTGTGCCACTGTGGAAGCCCAGGATGTCAGTGCTGCTGGCCACTCTTCCTGTGGCCAGTGTGCACAGCAGGGTTTGTCCAGCTGGATCTGTGTGGAATTATTGTTCAAGCAGTGCTTGGAAGCTAAGGGTTCAGCTCCTTGTAATGGGATTGCTGGAGATCTGCAGCCTCATGTGGAGTCACTGCAGTTTCTCCATGGCTGCAGGAGCCCAAGGCCGGTCCAGTGCGTGACTTGTCAGGAGCACGTTCCCTGGGGATGTCTGTCATGGGTGAGCAGAGGAGCAGGAAAAGCTTCAAGACTACTCTTCTTCCAAGGTTAAAAAGTGGAATCATCATCCTTTAAGGTTATTGGCAGTGAAGTGTAAGAGCCTTCCTCTGCCCCTGCTGTCAGCAAGCGTAGGTAAAATAAGCTGCAATCCTGGTGTTTTGATTTGGCTTGTAGATGGAAGTATGATGTGGAAACATTTCCTTGGAAAATTGAAGAGAATTTAAAAATAGCAATAGCTGAGAAGGTGGCACTTCCAGGTGTTTTTAGGCACCAAGACAAAAGGGACATCTCTGTTGAAGCAGTTTGTCTGGACTGGATCCAAGCAGGCAGAGAGATGTGCTTGTGTGGGATAAGCAGGGCAGTTTGGAAAATCAGTGAGTAGCTGAAGACATTTGCTGGCAGATGGAAACTAGGGGCAAGAGAAACACTAAGAAGTAGATGTACAATTCCTTTTATTGGCCAGAGTTCTTCTTTCCCACTGGGTAGCAGACAGTGAAACATTTGAGTAGATGTGATAAAAAAGAGACTACAATAATTGTTTTACATCTTAACACTAGTTAGGAAAAAAAAAAGTAGGATGTGTGTTTTATTTTAGTGCAACTACTTCAGTAATTTGTTCCTGTCCTTCAGCTCTTGGGGAGACTTCTTACTGGATGCAATTCCTGGCCTGGTGTTTGATACAGCAAAAGAGGACGCGGCGCTGCGGACAGGCATTCCGAGGCAACTGCTCATGGTTAGTGAGTGATGGTGCCTCCAGGTGATCTGTCAGACAGAAAAAGTTCTGTCAGACCAGGCTTCTGAATCTTCTAGTCAGTGAAGCTGTGAATTGTTATGGGACCTCCTTATGGTGGTCCTGTCCTGCTGCTGCTCAGCTCAGGAGGAACAAGGGTTTCTTCAGCTGCACTTGCAAGTCCTTTAGCCCCAGAGCAAGGAGAGTGAGCTTCAGCTGTGACATGTGAACAGCTCATGGGGAATGTGTAAAAGAAACAAAGCTTGGTTTGAGACTAAGGAGTGTCCAGATTTTCACTGCTTTGGTGCACTGCTTTAGGTCTGGTCTGTCCAGCTTAAATTCTTTGTGAATGTTTAGCAGGTGAACACAGCTGACTGCACCAAAAAGCTGAGCAGCCTTCTGAGAAGGCTTGCAGACAGTCTGGAGAACTCCAGGGAACTGAGATCATCTGACTTGAAGAAGGATTTCATTATGCACCGGTTGCCGCCGTACTTGGGATGTGACTCTGATGCTTTGACTCCAGGTAGAGTTTTAACTTCCCAAAACTTGCTGATGTGCTGGTAGTGGATAAGTCTGCCTCTTAAAACTTCTAGCATTTAATAGCAGGCCAAGATCAGAGTCCAGGCCCAGCTTTGTGTGGTGCCTGGCTCTGTGTGTGTGTGTTTGCACTCCTCTCTTGGCCAATTCCCAGTATCTGGTGGGAGATATGACCCATTTCCCTTAGACTGAAATAAAGGTTATCGTAGAATTAAAACATCTTTCTCATTTCTCCTTCCACCACAAGTTTGAGAACTTGTGGCTGTGCAAACACTGGTTAACAAAAAATCTGGCTGTGAGAGAACAGGTAGTGCACAGGGGGCTCAATTTGTATCATGTCTGGTTTTCTTCCTTCTCTAAGGCTGAATTTATTCTTCTTAGGTGGGAAATTGCCAAAAATAAATAGCAAAATCAGACTGCAGTTTAGAGACCATGCTATCATCACTGTGGAACCAGATCAAGAGAATGCTGTAAGTATAAGCAGCCCCCCTTGTATGCCGGGGGTGGGGAGTGGGAGACATTGTTGCTCTGTTGTACTGAAAGGGTTGTGCAGTTCTGCTTGGTTGGATCTTGCATCCCATTATTGCTGTTAGGAGATCCTGGGGCTGTTTGCTGAGTACATTCCAGCCTTCTGGAGGGAGGTACAGAATTATATTCAGTGATTTTGCATGCCTTTTATCTGAATCACATGGGGTAGGTCATTACAGCAGCTAAAATGGCAAATGGGTAATAGATTTTTTTTTTTTAATTCCTTGTATTTAAGAACATGAAGAAGTTATAAAATTAGGGTTCCTGAAGAGAGGGAATTCTCTTGGTTGCATTTAGTCTTCACTACTGAGTTATCTCTGTACCTAAAGTGGGTGACAGTGGCACTTAAAAGTTGTTCCACAACATAGATACTGGCATCTTGCATAATTCTGTGTTTACACTGCTGCTTATCTGTGAAAGTTTATTAGTATGAAATTATAGAAGTGCTTTCTTATCTTAATTTAAAAAAAAATGGGTGGAGGGGGGAAATCCATTTTCTGTGTGTGTTATCTTGTAAAAGTTTGGTGTTTTATTTTTTATTTTTTTTTAATGAATGGAATGTTTCCCTCCAAGAAAAACATACCAGAACTTTGATTTTTCATCTCCATTTTATTTGTGTCCATATTGCTGTGAGACTGTCTTGGGTTTAGAAACCTTTTTTTTCCAATTTTTTTTGCAACTGATTTGCAGCCTTTACCAAGGGTTGATAATGGACATGTGATTTTTAAGACAGATCAGTCTCAGACTGGAGATTATTGATGCACACCTGTTCATTAAGACTTCTTAGGAGAGGTGCCTTAAAGGGCCTGTTTTCTACACAGCATCAGTCCTGTGACTCCAGCAGGGGCAGTTTTGAGGCAGAAGGTTGTAAATAAATTTGTAGAGGTGTTTTGGAGAGTCCCTTGCTGTGGGAGGTGGCTGCTGGGTCACTCATTTGAGAAGGTGACTTGCTGTCCTTGCTGTGAGAGTGGCCTCTGGAATTAAGGAGCTGGCACTGGACTGAGGGGAGTGTGAGGGTGTGGATCACTTGTGACCATTTTCTTCCTGCTGTCTTTCAGGATGAAATTCGCAGAGAGATGATTTATGTGTATCATTCCTTAAAGAACAGGAGAGAAACTCACATGATGGGGAGAGAGGATGACACTGCCAGTGAGGATGGCCTGGCACAGGTTTGTTCCTGCAAACGCATCCCAAAATTTATCTTGCCCTGGTTTTGGCTGTGTTCTTCAGCACCCAGAGCTTTTCAGCCTGTTCCCAGAGTACCTGGATGAGCTGAAGCTGCAACACAGGCTGTGAATAGGAGAACTAAGTAATGTGATCTCATGCTTAATTAAACATTTGAGAGGCCAATGGGATATCTTGTGCATGCCCTGTGGGCCAGTTAACAAAGCTGCTGAGGCAACTAAAAGCATCTCTTACTTTGTGTGTCCTTCAGCAGGTCCTGTCTGAGGCTGCACATGTTCCATGGGGATCACTGCACCTCATTTCTGACATGTTAAACCTGTGTTAGCTCCTGTATCCACTGGAACACCCTCTGCAGGGCTGCTCACTTCAGCCCGGGGCAGGTCAGCACTGGGAGTTCTACCATGTAATTCAGGTCTGCACAGCTCCTCCAAAGAGGCAGAACAGAGCAGAGCCTGGCCTTGGCTTGGCCATTGCTGCAAGGCTTTTTGCCTGGCAGTTATTTTCCTTTTGAAATAAATCTCACTATTCCTGTAGAGCTGAGGCTGGACACTGGCACCTGAGCAGCACATGCACAGCCTTCCTTCCTGCCCTTAAACAAGAGCCCTGGGAATGAAGGTCCTCTGTGCTTCTGTGCCCAAAGACTGCAGGTGTCAGCTAGAAATAAAGCTCTGTGACCTTGCTATAAAATAATGGGTAGGGTTAGGCAAGAGGGTAAATTTAAAATTATTTTTTTCTTCTGTGTGGAAACCGCAGGAGGAAGTCACATGTACCATAAACATTCCTACCTTGTAGTGTGCTACAGCATGGAAGAGTTACTTCTGAGTAAAATAGGTCTGGATAAAACTGTATCTTTGGGAGGCTGCTCTCACGAACTCCAGTGTGCTGTGGGAATGGAGCACATTCCTGCTGCTCCCTCACACACACTGATGTGTAATAAAGTCACTGCACTTTGCTGAAGGGTTTTTTCCTGTCTGTTTTTCCCCAGCAGACTCACGGGCTGCGGTTCCCTTTGTCATACTTGGATGCACTGAGGCAGATCTGGAGTAGCAGCACTGTTAATGTTAAAGAGCTTAACCTTACCTCAGATGAAGAGAAAGAAAACCTTGCCTTGTCACTCTGGACTGAATGTCTGATTGAAGTTCTTTGATGCTTTTATGAATTAGCTGCTCCTGGCTATTAAGCATCTCTTGAGAGCAAGGTTTATTAATTTTTTTTTTTTTAATCCATCCAGCCTCTGGTTTGTAGTGCTAACAAAGCATTGCAATATCTGTACTTTGCTGCTTTCTGGTGCCAAATGTTAAATGTCCTTCCACACTTTTGGAAAACTGGGCATGGGGAAAAGCAGGTAAGTGAGCCACAGCTCCAGGGCTGGCTGGATGAAGTCACTTCTAAGTGCCCCCAGCGCTGTGGTGTCCCTTTCCCTCTGGAGAGCTGCTGGAGGAAGGCTCAAGTTATACATGGAGCAGGCTCCAAAACCTTGGGCATAAAACATTAACTTGTTTCTTTCATTTGTAAAGTTCATCAGCAGGAAAATCTCTTTGATTGCCCTGACAGAACAAAAGCTTACTGGTAAAAGCTGCCTGTGCTGTGCCCACAGGGGGAAGACTTTGCCCAAGAAAACCCCTTTTCCCTCAGATGCTGCCATCCCTGGAATAAACAAATAATAATATTTATCCTCTGCCTCCCCCAGCACCAATTTCAAGTGAAAGTAACCCAAAAGCCTGTAGCTGGAATCTGTATCTTCAATATTCACTTGAGTGGGTTTTGATGAGACTGGTGCAGTTACTTTAATGTGTCATTGATTTTTAATACACAATTTCATGTAACAGCACAGCCACATACTCAATATACTTATCCCCCTCTTTTGGACACTGGAAAAAAAATGTTTTACTGGAATATGCTCAACAGCTACTGAAAACTATTATTTACTTCGTTTAAAAAGAAACCAACCAGCAAAATGTTTCTCCTAAAAAGTTTTATACAGTTAAAATATACATGCTTTAGCATTTTACATTCAAGGTCTCTTAAGTACAAAAGCCTGCTTTACTTTGTTATGTAACACTGAGACACCAAGTATGATTTAGTCATTCTTCATTTAAAAAAACTACAACTTTTACACAGGCTTTTAAAATTTCATATGGAAAGTCACATGCAGAACACTTGATGTACTGACTTATATGGAAAAAAGCTTAACAAGTGCTTCAGTTGAAAAAATATATACATACATTTGAGGATCTGTTACTCAAACAGCAGATTTATGATCATTTTAGAATGTAAAATAGTAAGTGCAAGTAGATTTTTTTTTTAAATAGTACTATTTAGAACTCTATTTCATACAAAAATAGACATCCATATATTTTATTTCTATGGCAAACTTAGAGCTGTGTCTTTGTTTGGGGATGATCCTGTTTGAGTGCACAGCTGGCATAGCTTTCAGAATCTCAAATATCTTCAGCTAACTTGAACTCTTTAAATAGTCCTAGAAATACATACCCTGAATATACAAATGCTGGAAAAAAAATATTTTCAATGAAGATTAATTTAGTGATGCTGAAGCCAGGGAGCTGAGGGACTTCTCTTCCATCTCAGGTGCTCACAGCCCTCCACGGGGCTGTGGTTGGTCAGCACTGAGCCAGGAAAAAGCTTTTGAAGCACCAGCTGCAGTGAGTGAGGTCTCTGGCTCTGTTGGAGCAAAAGCTGTGGTTGCATAGTGTGGAAATTGAGGAGAGCCCTGGCACACCAAGCTCTGGAGCATCAGCTGTCCTTGGTGCCATGCTGACCACGGAACACGGAGCCAGCCCTGGAACGCAGGCTGCTGGCACTTCAGAAATACCTGCCACGGTGAGCTGGTTTCTGCCAAACTGGAAATTTGGTGCTGTTAAAAGCAGAGAAGACAAAGGCTTACCAGTATCATTTAGGGGGTGAAAGGCCCCTGTATTGCTTCATTTCATGTGCTGAGCTGTAATTCCAGTTCAAAGGTGTCTTTATCAACAAAATCAATTGCATTTTAATGAGAGACATGATTCAGGATCGCTTGGAGCCTGAACAGTTTCACTTGGGACATAAAAGCCCAACTCAAGTTCCTTGAAGCTCATCAGTGCATTCACTCCTCAGTGAGCTTCCAGCAGTGTGGGAGGAAGGTAAAGACAGCATTTCTGAAGAGCCTTTCCCCCATAATCTCTTGCACTTCCCATGCTGCAGAACCTCTGCCTGCTCTTTTGCATTTACCTTTCATAATTCAGAGGAAGAGTAATGGTGACTTTCACAGGAACAGCCGCTGCAGAATCAGCTTCCCTGCAGAGAGACATTGGATCAACCTGCCAATGTTCCAGATTTGTGCAAAATTCAGTTCTTTTAGGAGCTGGTGCTTGGCATGAAGGAAAATAGAGAGGAGCTGCTGCTTAAGGTTCCAGTGGTGTGTGACTTCAGTAGTTGGCTTCTTTTTTCCCCTCTAGATGTTGGTAGCCCACAAAAAGCCCATCTGTGGGGTGGATTTTACTCACAGTATTTCAATATCCCATTTCTGTGAAGGTTTGTTTTCTATTGGCTGATTCATAATGATGTGATTCTTGTCGTAGTAATTTCCTCCTTAAAAACAAAAGGAAGTCATGAAGGAAAAGGTTTTTAAAGAAATACTTGTAAAAATTATGCACAATCTTTGAGAAGTGTGACTAAGTAGGAAAATCAGCTGAAAAATAGGAATTCCATGAGGTAGGGGGCTGGTGTCTACAACTGAGCAATGACAATTTTAACCAGCCTTCTTTTTCAACTCCTTTTCTCTTTTTGAGCTATTCTGTGGTTGATTTTCCTTCACCATTTTGTCTTCTGTAACTTGCACTTCTTGCCATCTGCACTACTTAACTCCCCAAAGCACAACCACTGATCTGATCAAAATTAACCTCTGGAATCAAAAGAGAAAGGTTCCTCCCTGCCCTGCAGCTTCTTGTCCCACTGTCAAGCAACTGGACAGGAAAGGTAGGATTGAGTTTCTGACCTTAAGTACCAAAAAAATCCCAAACCTGGAGTATGGAAGCTAACCTTAATCAAAAAACACACTTAAAACCTGAGAGGTATAGAGTTTTTTGTTTTTAAATACCTTTAATATCAAGCACCAGTTGCTCACTAAGGTATGAACTGATGGTGCCATCCTCATTGAGTCTCCACTTCTGCCTGTCCTTCCCATGTTCTGTCCAGAGGGCAACTTTGGCCCCAGGCACATCTCTGCCCCCAATGACATCCAGACAGGCATTGTTGGCCTAAGAAACAAGGAGAGCAGTGAGATCCAGGGCACAGAGCCTCAGTTTTGTGCCTGGCTTGTCTCAGGCACTGAGCACATGGCAGTAAATCGTGCTGTAGTTGGTAAAACCCTGGGAAGCAAGCGAGGAATAGATTATTCAACATGCAACCAGCTGCTTGATCAAAGGCGGTGGTCTTTGTTCCTTATTTTTTTAGTGTTAAACCATCAGCTTTTTTTAATATTAATAAAAGACCATGAAGGGCAGCATTAATAGAAAATCACTCTGAAGCTCACCTTGGACTTGAAGAGCCCCTGGCAGTAGTGCCAGAGCTGGGAGCTGCTGCCACTGCGCGGGGCCGCGCACACCGAGGTCGCCCTGATGTCTGCCAGGCTCCCAGCCACGGTCAGGTACTTCCCCTGGGCTCTGTTCCTCACCCTCAGGTACACTGCTGGCTGCAGGAGGTGAGGGGAGGGATTTACAACACAGAGATCAAGCAAATCGATGGGAGAGGGCCTCCCCTCCACCACCCTCCCCTCCATCAGTCCTCTAAACTCTTATGTTCAGTTTTTGTTTTCAGTTGAGGATGTTCAGTAATTTTTTGGTTGGAAACAAATGTGCATGTGAAGTAGTGGTTTTACACATGCAGATGGGCAGCTATAAACAGCAATGGAAGATAGGGGTTTTTTTTTTAAAAAAAATGTAATTATGGCTACAGAACTAATTCCTGTGATCTGCAAAGATGCCTAGTTCAGCACATTTCACTCATTCCAAGGGCAGTAAAGGGGCTCTACTCTGCAAGCTTTTAATTCTTGGGACACAAAACTTACAGAGTTACATATGCAGCAACTTCAGCCCTCACTAACTGGAATATATGGCAGAGAGATACACCACTGTTTTTGAACACACATGGAAAACAGGGCACTGACCTGGTCTCTCTGTTTATTGGTTTACTCAAAAGATAAAGAGGATTTTGGAGGGCTACTGCAGGGTTTGAGTTTTTGCTCTGTTATTCACTGGTTTCAGTGCAAATAAAGAGCAGGGAGTTATAAAGGGCAGCTCTGCTGGAACCCCAGCTCCAGCACAGCTTTTTTTCTGGGAGCTTTAAATCTCCCTTTTTTCCATATTAAACCCTGAGCTACAGACAATAAGGCAACTCTCCCACCAAGCATCCATAAACATAACCTGCATAAGCAGAGTGTCTGGTTACTTTTTGTGGTTTAGAGCCCTGAACCTTTGAATGAGACTGAAATTAGAATCACCTGGGGTGAGGCAGAGAGGGGAAAACCTGATGGGAACTGCATAGCTTTGCCTCTTTTGGAAATCCAGGCTACACCACAATAAAATTCACTCTTGCTTCCATTTATGTTAATTATGAAACAAGGCAGTGTGAAATTGGTTTTCTCATTATATTGTTATATGGCAAAACTGTAAAAATAGAGCATCCACAGAACATGCTAATGAGCAATTAAGAAAAACAAAACTTGGCACCAAGAAACTGGGAATTATTTCCCTTTAGGAACCTAACATAGATCTCAATAACTGCCATGAGAGACATTTTCTGCTTCAGCAATCTTCCAGTGGGTCCTTCTGGCTGTCATCACCTGGCTTGATTTAAGGAGTACAACACACCCCAATGTGCTTGCTGGTAGAACTGATACCTGTGCACAAACCCCTGTCCATAAAACCCCCTTTTCTCACTCAAGTCTTACCTGCTTCACAGGACGAAGGGAGCCAATCACTTTCCAGCCACTGTGTTCACTCCAGTTTGAAATCTCCCTGGGCTCCAGCAGAATCTGCTTCCCTAAAAAATTGCACCCCTCGTAGGCGATCCACCTGGATACACAAAACAGAACATGAAAGGGCCCTTGTTTTCCACAGCAAGACTTAACTTCAGGTCAGGGTTGTGCTCCTGGAAACCCCCAGACCTCTCCACAGTGATGCTAGTATCAAGCCTCTCTTTCTGTACTGCAAAATGCCATCCATTTCAGTGGGATGACTGCCTTCTGTTGAAATTCTGACCTGTTTTCTGTCAGAAAATTCATAAACTGCACTTCTCATCTCTCCTCTCCCCCTCCATTTCTTTCCCCACAAAAAGGAGAACCTCTGCAAGAGCCCAGACGGGAATAATGCTGGTTTCAGCAGGCCTGTGTTGGGAAACTGGGGAGCCACACTTGCAGCTTTGCCTGATTGTGCACATTAATTATGAGAGGATCTCATCTGATGCTTTTGTTGCAGTTAAAGCTTTTTATACAATTCCACTGCTCTGAAAACACATTACAGGTATTCACTCCAAACCCCAGACCCTGCTGCAGCAGATTTTCCTGTCATGAATACACCATGGAAGTGGCTGAGTCCTGGAACACCCAGTTAAAGCACTGGCTCATACAGACCCCTTGTTATCTGGGCATCTGCTCAGTAAATGCTGCTCACAAAGGCAGCCTAAGGAGCACAGATCCCTTCTGTCTGTATCAATAGCACATTGCTGTGTGGACAGTGCCTCCTAAATGCCTGACTCATTAACTCCTCCGAACACAAAGCAAGTGCTGGTTTCCCTGGTTACCTGTTTTACAGGTCAGCTGCCAAGAACATGAGGGATGGCTGCACTCTGAGTCAGTGAGAAAACACCCACAGCCCCACAGCACCTGGAATTGCTTTTGCACAGTGCCCACAACTCAGAGAAACTGAGAGCCAGCCCTGCTCAGGGCTCCATGGAGGCTCAGCTGCACCAGCTGCAAGCTGCCTGGCAATGAGGATGGGTCCCTGCTTCTTCAAACAAAGTCCACACCTCCTGACTAGCAGGTTCTCAGGGCAGCCTGACCATCCCTGTGTCTTCCTTATACTCTGAACACATTCCTGGCTTTTTTTTTTTCCTTGCCATGGTTTCTGTCAAATCACTGAGAATTCATTGTTAACGTTATTCTTGGAGTGTGGAACAGTCTCATGTGGAATGCAGTTTCAAAACAATCATTTATCAGCAACAGAGAGGGGAAAGACTTACAGTGATCACCATCTGAAGCAAGGTTGGGCTCCTGGCATTCAGTGACACAGGCAAAACTCACCTCTGCTCTCACACAGGCTGTGCTACCTCTCCCACACCTCTGAGGAACCCAGCACCCTTTGCCA